GGCGTGGTCAAAAAGAAAGGTCTTCAGCTGTATGTGTGTGAGCAGTGTGTGTGTATGAGCAGTGTGTGAGCAGTGTGTGTGTATGAGCAGTGTGTGTGTGTGAGCAGTGTGTGTGTATGAGCAGTGTGTGAGCAGTGTGTGTGTATGAGCAGTGTGAGTGAGCAATGTGTGGGTGTGTATGAGCACTGTATGAGCAGTGTGTGTGTGTATGAGCAGTGTATGTTAGTGAGCAGTGTGTGTATGAGAAATGTGTGTGTATGTGAGCAGTGTGTGTGTATGAGCAGTTTGTGAGCAGTGTGTGTGTGTTAATGAGTGTGTGTGAGCATTGTGTGTACGTGTGTATGAGCAGTGTGTGTGCGAGCAGTGTGCGTGTGTATGAGCAGTGTCTGTGTGAGCAGTCCGTGTGTGTGAGCAGTGTGTGTGTGTGAGCAGTGTGTGTGTGTGTGTATGGGCAGTGTGTGTGTATGAGCAGTGTGTGTATGAGAGAGCAGTGTAAGCAGTGTGTGTGTGAGCAGTGTGTGTATGAGCAGTGTGTGTGAGAGCAGTGTGAGCAGTCTGTGTGTATAATCAGTGTGTGTGTATGTATGAGCGGTGTATGTGTGTATGAGCAGTGTGTGTATGAGCAGTGTGTGTGTATGAGCAGTGCATGTGTGTGTGTGAGCAGTCTGTGTGTGTGAGCAGTGTGTGTGTGTATGGGCAGTGTGTGTTTATGAGCAGTCTGCGTGTGAGCAGTGTGTGTGCGAGCAGTGTGTGTGAGCAGTGTGTGTACGTGTGTATGAGTAGTGTGTGTGAGCAATATGTATGAGCAGTGTGTGTATGTGTGTATAAGCAGTGTGTGTGTGTATGAGCAGTGTGTGTATATGGGCTATGTGTGTGAGAGCAGTGTGTGTGTGTGTGGGCAGTGTGTGTGTGAGAGCAGTGTGAGCAGTGTGTGTATGATCAGTGTGTGTGTATGTATGAGCAGTATGTGTGTGTGAGCAGTGTGTGTGTGTGAGCAGTGTGTGTATGGGTAGTGTGTGTGTATGAGTAGTGTGAGCTGTGTGTGTATATGGGCAGTGTGTGTGTATGAGCAGTGTGTGTGTGTGTGAGAGCAGTGTGTGTGTGTATGAGCAGTGTGTGTGTGAGCAGTGCATGTGTGTTTATGAGCAGTGTGTGTGTGTGTGAGAGAGCAGTGTGTGTGTGTGTATGAGAGGTGTATGTGCATATGAGCAGTGTGTGTGTGAGCAGTGTATGTGTGAGAGCAGTATGTGTGTGTGAGCAGTGTATGTGTGTGAGCAGAGTGTGTGTGAGCAGTGTGTGTGTATGGGCAGTGTGTGTATGAGCAGTGTGTGTGTGAGCAGTATGTGTGAGCAGTGTGTGTGTATGGGTAGTGTGTGTGTATGAGTAGTGTGAGCAGTGTGTGTATATGGGTAGTGTGTGTGTATGAACAGTGTGTGTGTGAGCAGTGTGTGTGTGAGCAGTGTGTGTGTGTGTGTGAGCAATGTGTGTGTATGGGTAGTGTGTGTGTATGAGTAGTGTGAGCAGTGTGTGCATATGGGCAGTATGTATGTATGAGCAGTGTGTGTGTGTGTGTGTGTGTGAGCAGTCTATGTGTATGATCAGTGTATGTGTATGTATGAGCAGTGTGTGTGTGTATGAGCAATGTGTGTATGAGCAGTGCATGTGTGTTTATGAGCAGTGTGTGTATATGGACTATATGTGTGAGAGCAGTGTGTTTGTGTGTGTGAGCAGTGTGTGTGTGTGAACAGTGTGTGTGTGTGAGCAGTGTGTCTGTGTGTGAGAGCAGTGTGTGTGTGAGAGCAGTGTGTGTGTGAGAGCAGTGTGTGTGTGAGAGCAGTGTGTGTGTGAGCACTGTCTGTGTGTGTGAGCAGTGTGTCTGTATGTGTGAGCTGTGTGTGTGTGAACAGTGTGTGTGTGTGAGCAGTGTGTCTGTGTGTGAGAGCAGTGTGTGTGTGAGAGCAGTGTGTGTGTGAGAGCAGTGTGTGTGTGAGCAGTGTGTGTGAGCAGTGCGCAAGCTGTGTGTGTGTGAGCAGTGTGTGTGTGAGTGATGCACCAGATGGGATGAGCTGACCGACTGGGAGGAGAAAGCGAGGTTGGGGAAGGTTGTGATGTCCCGCTGGCTGGCTGGAGAGCTCTATATTGAGGAGCAATCACTGATCGGTAATGGTGACTGAATGGCCTGATTGTGTGGAGATCTCTTTGGTGTGTCAGCAGTTTGGATGTTGTAGGTGTCTGCGGAGGAGGGGGGGTCCGTATAAAACAGCGGCAGCGACGGACCTGAGCCGCTGGAGACTGAGTAACGTGGAGGGAAGACAGAGCTGGAGCTTCGTGGACCAGCGAGACGCCAGGCCACAGACAATGCTGGAGCTGCACTCACTGGGACTGGACACCGTATGTTACCACCCTCCCACCCCCGCAGTTCACAGGAAGGACATGGCCCAGGCTTTTCCTTGGCTGCGAAACCACTGTGGGTTGATTGAGCGACGGGGTTGTGGTGGGGGAGGTGATTTGCTGCTGGTCAATACTGGGAGCTCAGGCTGACAGGTCTTCACAATATTCAGTTGCAGAAAGTTGGTGCTCGTCCAGGTCTTGAAGAGTGATAGGCAGGTGGACAGAACAGGGACGGACCTGGGGTCACGGCTAGAGGAGGAAAAATAAATTTGGGTGTCATCTGCAGACATTGTAATGATATTACCGAGCGGAAGGATGTAATGAGAAAAGTGAGGGGATTTGGAATCCACTACAAGTGACTGTGTTGGGCATAGAAACCATTGGAGGAGACAAAATGATGGCGGTGCATCAAGCAGAACTTCATCCAGGGGAGTGCAGTGCATTAAGGTGGATGAGCCAGGGGAGGTGATGAAAGAGGATAGGGTGATTGATTGTGTCTAAGGCAGTGGAGAGGTCCAGGAAGGCAAGGAGGCAGAGGGAGCCCTGGTCACACAGAGAGGATATCAGTTGTGACTTTGATGAGCGCCATCTCTGCTGTGGAGGAAAACAGACTGGAGGGGCTCGAGTAAGGAGCGAAGGGAGACATGTAAACAAAGTTAGGTGGCAACAACACTTTACAGGACTTTAGAGATGAAGGGCAAGCTTGAGATGGGCCAGTAGTTTGCAAAGGATGAAGAGTGGAGTTTTGAGGAGGGGGTGATGGGTTTGGAGGGGGAGGGGACAGAGCCTGAGAAGATGGACCAGTTGACTGCCAGCTATAGACAGCTGGGTGGGGGGGATTTGAGGCAGAAGATGGTGGGTTTGATATGGGTGATGATAGTTGGGAGGGAGAAATAAGAGTGAAGGAGTGGCCTTGGTGGTTGGTGGAGTGGGAGTTGATGTGGAGGCTGATGGGGCAGGAGGGGTCCGGGTGCTGGCGGAAGTCATTATGCAGAGATGTTCAGTGCAAAGGATATGAGGAGGGAGGATGTGTGTGAGGAATGAGCGGGTGCTGTGATGGGGCTAAGTGGGGTGCGGACATTGATGCTGTCTTGTGGCTGTTTCAGAGCCGGTTTGTGGGGATCTCAGCTGCTGCTCGCTCCGCACAGGAGGCCGTGCTAAAGGGGTTGAGGTTTTATGCCCCTCTCCAGGCCGAGGATGGCCACTGGGCTGGCGACTACGGAGGGCCCCTCTTCCTGTTGCCAGGTGGGTGTCCAGGGGGAGAGAGTGGGGGTGAGCAGGGAGGGGTACAAGGGGGAAAGGGAGCGAGGGGGAGGAGAGCGCGAGGGGGGCTGATTGGACTAACCCGCTGTGTGTGGCTCAGGGCTCCTCATTGCCTGCCATGTGACGGGGGCTGGGCTGGCGGACTCTCAGAGACAGGAGATGGTGAGGTACCTGCGTTCGGTACAGCTCCTGGACGGAGGCTGGGGATTGTGAGTGTGAGCTCTTCACCTTCTTTCACACACTCTCCATCCCTCTCTCACACATTCTCCATCCTTCTCTCACACACTCTCTCCATCCCTCTCTCACACTCTCTCCATCTGTCTCTCACACATTCTCTCCATCGCTCTCTCACACACTCTCTCCATCCCTCTCTCACACACTCTCTCCATCCCTCTCTCACACCTCTCTCCATCCCTCTCTCACACACTCTCTCCATCCCTCTCTCACACCTCTCTCCATCCGTCTCTCACACGCTCTCTCCATCCCTCTCACACACTCTCTCTCACATATTCTCACACATTCTCTCACACATTCTCATTCACACACTCACACTCACTTTCACAAACTCTTTCATATACTCACACTCACACATTCTCTCACACTCACACGCTCTCACTCATACACTCACACTCACTTTCTTTCACACACTGTCTCATGCTCTCTCTCACACTCTCACTCTCACACACTCACCAATTCTCTCACATTCTTACTCACACACTTACACTCACTCTCTCACACACTCTTTCACTCCCTCTTATTCTCTCACACTCAGACACACTCTCACACTTACTCTCTCATACTCTCACTCTTTCACACACTTTCTCCCACGTACACTCTCATTCTCTCACTCACTCTCACACACTCTCACACACTCACTCTCATACTCACTCTCACACACTCACTTTCTCACACACACTCACACCCTCTCTTACACACACTCTCTCTCACTGTCTCTCTCACATAGACATGTTGAGGACAGCAGCACGGTGCTGGGTACGGCTCTAAACTACACGTCGCTGCGACTGCTCGGGGTGGGGGCTGACGACCCTGATCTGGTTCGGGCCCGGAACAATCTTCACACCAAAGGTTAGCCAGGGTCACTGTCAGCTCTTTCTCTCCCCGTACTGTACTGGAATCCCTCCTGTACTGGAGCCCCCCCTGTACTGTACTGGAGCTCCCCCTGTACTGTACTAGATCCCCCCCTCTACTGGAGTCCCCCCCCCGTACTGTACTGGACCCCCCCCGCACTGTACTGGAGCCCGCCCTGTACTGTACTGGAGCCCCCCCTATACTGGAGGCCCCCCTGTACTGGAGCCGTCCCTGTACTGGAGCCCCCCCCCCCCTGTACTGGAGACCCCCCCACCCTGTACTGGAGACCCCCCCTGTACTGGAGGTCCCCCCTCTGTACTGGAGCCCCCCCCCCCCCACCCCGTACTGGAGCCCCCCCCCGCACTGGAGACCCCCCCCCTGTACTGGAGCCCCCCGTACTGTACTGGAGCCCCCCCTGTACTGTAGCCCTACTGTACTGGAGTCCCCCTGGACTGTACTGGAGCCCCCCGTACTGTACTGGGGGCTCCAGTAAAGTGATGCGTCCGTCCAGGGCATCCCATCTGCACTGCCATCGCTGTTTTGCTCTTGCTCTCTGGAGCTCCATACCTGGAGTCCCTCCGACTCCCTCTCCTCTTTCAAGGCACGTCAAGATCTAACTCTTTGACCACTCTTACGGTCATCTTTTTCCCTGCCATCCCACCTCCCTCAGCTCCCACCTCCAGCTCAGGTGGCCAGCCAGCAGTGTCGAGCGCTTTGAGCCGTCTTTCCAATATGAAAAGGGCGCTGAATAATTGCTATGTTTCTGGAAGGAAAAGACAAACATATTTTATATGAGACTCGCACACCTTTCTCAAACAGGGAATCTGGCCCCTGGCAGCAGGTTCGACCCCCCTCTGAGCTAGATTGTTAAGATCAAATTCTTAGGTACAGTACCTGTCAATCAGGGCAAACCCCACCTTCAAAATATATATTTTTTAAAAATGTGCTCACTCAATCCACGACTGTTTGTGGGACACTACTGTGAGCGATTGGCTGCCGTGTTTCTCCCACAAATTCAGTTCACTTTACAGTATATTCTGTGAAGCGCTTTGAGACATCTCGAAGATGAGACAAGGCGCTATATCAAATGCAAGGATTATTATTATTATAATGTGATGTTCACCTAGAGAATCTAGAGAATAAAGTCAGGAGCTGGAACAGACTCATGGCCTTTCCCTGTTGTGTTGTTTCAGGAGGTGCGGTGGGCATCCCATCTTGGGGCAAGTTCTGGTTAGCTGTCCTCAACGTCTACAGCTGGGAGGGGCTCAACAGCCTGTTTCCTGAGATGTGGTGAGTTACCCTCCACCCCCAGCGGGTGCCAGTCAGCTTTCTTTGGGAGGTGGGAGGAGCAGGTGTCTGACATGCGAAAACCCATCACCATGCTTAAGCGTATCCAAACCGAGCTGAGATATCCATGCATCCCACCTACACGTGGAAATCCCAGAGATAGTTTGTTGGAATGGAATGCAGACTCTCTCCCTGGATGGACAAATCCTGCTTACCTATTTCCGGAAAGTATGGAAATAGGTAAGTATAGGCTTGGGGACCCTAGTGTGTGTGTTGGGGTAACTGCTGGAGTCTAACCAGCTAAAACCACATAGCTTGCCATTGTTATTTTCAGTGTCTGGCAGCCTTTCCCGCTCCTTTTCCAGCTAGTACCACCCTACCCGTTAGGGCAGTGGCTTGTAGAGTTAACAGAAGCTGAGTGGGATGACTACCTGCCTCCAGTAACTGGTCTGCCCTTCCAGGTCCTGCCAGTGAGGAGCCGGACTACCGAGCCCACCCCAGAGGGTTTGCTCGATTCCTACTCTCCGTGCATGTTACCTTAGAGGCATTCATCTCCAAGGAGAGTCTGCTTCCCCACCTTCCACTAGGAGGATAGTCACTGGTAGGTCATTTGACACCCGACAAATGCAGGTTTGAGCCCTCACTAGGTGGATGGTAGGTACCAGGAATTCCCTGCCAGCTTCCCGGTGGGCAATACATCTCAGCATGAAATGAAAAGAAAAAGTAGGTGAGCATAGGGTGTGTGTGAGGGGATATGTGTGTGTGAGAGTTTGTGTATAGGGTGTGTTTGTGAGGGTGTGTGTATGAGGGTTTTGTGGGTACAGTGTAGCTGACCCTCTCTCTCTGGTACAGGCTGCTCCCACGCTGGATGCCCGCCCATCCATCCACTCTGTGGTGTCATTGTCGCCAGGTTTACCTGCCCATGAGTTACTGCTTTGCCGTCCGGCTTACAGCACAGGAGGACACACTCATCCACAGCCTTCGCCAGGTCAATCCCTCCCCGTCCCCTGAACCCCCGCTCGCTCTCTTTCTCAATCTCTCTCTGAAATCTTTCTCTCTGACCTCGTTCTTGACAGCATCCCTTCCGGTCTCCTTAACCACCAGCTCCACCTCCTTGACCCTCTATTAACAGACATCGTCAACCTTTCCTTATCCACTGGCACCATTCCCACACCCTTAAAAATAGCCGTCATCACCCTCATCCTCAAAAAAAACTTCCCTGGACCCCACCCTCGCCTGGCTACACTGGCTCCCCATCCCCCAGGGGATAGAGTTCAAAATCCTCGTCCTCATCTTGAAAGCCCTCCACAGCCTTGCTCCTCCCTACCCCTGTTACCTGCAAACTCCATATTGACCTGTCCGCTCCCTCCGCTCTGCAGCCTGCTCCGCATCCCCTGCCTGCCCTGCCCCATCATCGGCGGTCAGGCCTTCATCCTCTCAGCCCCCACCCTTTGGAATTCAACAGTTCCTTCGCCTCATTCCTCCCTGCTCAAGTCCAAATCCCTGACTGTCCAGTGCCTTGGGACTTCCTCCCGACATGAAAGGTGCTATACAAATGTAATTTGTTGTTGTTAACTCTTCTCTCTCTCTAACAATCTATCTCTCTCTCTGACCTCTCTCTCTCTCTCTGACCCTCTCTCTATCTCTCTCTCTCTCTGACCACCTCTCTCTGACCCTCTCTAACCTTCTCTTTGACCCTCTCTAACCTTCTCTCTGACCCTCTCTCTATCGCTCTCTCTGACCTCTCTCTGACCACCTCTCTCTGACCCTCTCTGTCTGACGTTCACTCTCATTCTGACCTCTCTCTGTATCTTTCTGACCCTCTCTCTCTGTGTTACTCTCTCTGATCTCTGTTTCTCAATCTGAATCTCTCTCTCTGACCCCCCTCCCTCTCTCTGACCCTCTCTCTCGTCTCTCTTTCTGACCCTATCTCTCTGTCTCTCTCTCTCTGTCTCTCTCTGACCCTCTCTCTCTGACTCTCAGGAGTTGTATGTGCAGGATTACTGCAGTATTGACTGGCCGGCCCAGAGGAACAATGTGGCCCCGTGTGACCTGTATACACCACACAGCTGGTTACTGAACACTGCGTACGGTGAGGATGTCTCCAAGGGAGTGGCTCTGTGTGCAAGGGGAGGAGCATGTGTAGGGAGAGGGCGTGTGTGTAGAGGGAGGAGGCGTGTGCAGGGCACAGGATATATGCAGGGGCGGAGCATTTGCTGGGGGAGAGGCGTGTGCAGGGGGAGGGGGCGTGTGCAGGGGGAAGGGGCGTGTGCAGGGGAGGGTGTGTGTGTAGGGGGCGGGGCATATGCAGGGCAGAGCGTTTGCAGAGGGTGTGTGCAAGGGAAGAGGCATGTGCAGGGGAGGGGGCGTGTGCAGGGGAGGGGGCATGTGCAGGGGGAGGCGCATGTTCAGTGGCGTGAGCGTGTGTAGGGGAACGGGGAGGGACGTGTGTGTGCAGGGGGTTGGTATAGAGTGTGTGTGGAGGGCGTGCGCTGTGTGTGTGGGTTGTGTAGTGGGGGAGAAAGCGTGTGCAGGTCAGGTGGGGGGGTGGCTGGTGTGGGTGGGAGGTGGTACGGGTGGGAGCGGGCTGTGTTTGTGGGTGTGTGAGTGAGTGTAGGGTGTGTGTCTGTGGGGTGTGTGTGCGCTGGACCGTGCGTGTGTGGGTGCCAGGGTTCCTCAGGTCTCTGTCCTTGGTTCCCTCCTCTTCAATATCTATATACTCCCTCTTGGTGACATCATCTGCAGACATGGGGTCAACTTCCACATGTATGCGGATGACACTCAGCTATACCTCTCTGCCTCCATCCTTGACTCCAGGACCACTGCTCTCTCTGTTGGACATCAAGTCCTGGATGAGAGCTAACTTTCTACAGTTGAACGTCAACAAGACCGAGGCTCTCCTGATTGGCTCCCATCAGCATCTCCTCACCTCAGGCGCTGATAGCATCACCATCCATGGTTGCACACTCCACCTTGCTAAGCCAGTCCAGAACCTTGGGGTCTTGTTTGACCCTCAACTATCCTTTCTGTGCCATGACCCACTCTGCCTTCCCCCACCTCCGCAACATCATCTGGCTTCGCCACTGTCTCACACCACAGGCCGTCGAAACCCTCATACATGCCTTCATTACATCGAGGCTTGACTATGCAAACTCACTATTTGTCAGCCTCTCCAACTCCTCCTTAATAATAATAATAATAATAATAATCCTTGCATTTGATGTAGCACTTTTCACGTCAGGAGGACGTCCCAAAGCGCTTCACAGAACACACTGTAAAGTGAATTGACTGTATATTTGTGGGCGAACGTGGCAGCCAATTGCGCACAGGAATGTCACAGTCATGGATTGAAAATGAACAATTTATTATTGTTTTTGTTTTTTGGAGGGATTATTATTAGGCTCTGTGTGGAGTAAGGAAACTTGCCCAAGGTTTCGCCCTCTGCCTGGAATTGAACTCAGATCTCTCACTTGCAAAGCGAGTGCTCTAACCACTGAGCTACAGGACTCCACTGTAGGCTGCAGGCATACAGGCATACAGGACTCCTTCCATAGGCTGCAGATTATCCAGAACTCTGCAGCCCGTGTCCTCTCCCGCACTAGGCTCTGCAACCATATCACACCCATCCTGTTCAACTCCACCGGCTTCCCATCACACAGAGGATACAGTTCAAGATCCTGGTCCTCACCTTCAAAGCCCTCCATGGTCTTGCTCCCCCCTACCTCTGTGACCTCCTAACCGCCTACCATCCTGTTCGCTCCCTCCACTCAGCGGGCTCCGGCCTACTTCACCTCCACCACCTTCCTCACCCCACTATTGGCGAGCGAACCTTCCGCCGTTGCCCCCACCCTCTGGAACTCCATCCTGCAGTCCTCCATCTCACCCCCTCCCTTGCCACCTTCAAGGCCAATCTCAAGACCCTCCTCTTCAACCGTGCTTTCGATCTCCCTGCTTCCCCCCCCTGTCCTCTACCCTTCCCTGATCCCAACCCCCAGTTCGGGTCCGTAACTGTCTGTCCAGCGCCTTGGGACATCCTCCCGACGTGAAAGGCATTTTACAAATGTAATTTTGTTGTTGTTGTTGTGTGCGTGGGCGGTGTGTGTGCGGTGTGTGTGTGTATGCACGGGGCGTGTGTGAGCCTGTGTGTGGGGGTTGTTTGTGTGTGCGGAAGGTGTGTGCTGGGTGTGTGCGCGTGCGGGGTGTGTGCGCGTGCGGGGTGTGTGCGCGTGCGGGGTGAGTGCGCGTGCGGGGTGTGTGCGCGTGCAGGGTGTGTATGCATGTGGGGTGTGCATGCGGAGTGTGCTAGTTGACGGTGCTGTGACCGCTGTTTCCAGCCGTGCTGAATGTATATGAGGATCATCACAGTGAGCGGCTTCGATGCTGGGCCATCACCGAGGTCTACGATCACATCACCGCGGACGACAGATTCACCAAGTGCATCAGCATTGGCCCGGTACAGGGGGACCCGGGGTGGGGGGGCGAGGTGTGTGTGTGTGTGAGGGGACCACACATGGGGGTTGAGGGGAAACGGGTTTGAGGGGGGTTGACGGATCAGGATGGGGCAATGATGGTGTCAGGGTGGTGGTGTCAGGGTGGAGGTTGATGATGTGTTGATGTTGTAGATCTCGAAGACCATTAACATGCTGGTTCGCTGGAGTGTGGACGGGCCTCAATCAGCTGCCTTCCAGCAGCATGTGGAGCGGATCACAGACTACCTCTGGTACACGCCAACAGGAGGCGGGGTCCACAATGGGGGTGTGAGGAGGGGGAGGTGGCGAGGAGGAGCAGTGACGGTGGGAAGCAGTGGCGGGGGGGAAGCAGTGATGGGGGGGTGAACAGTGACGGAGGGGGAGCATTGACGGGGGGGAGCAGTGACCGGTGGGGGTGGGGAGAGGAGGAGGCAGTGGCTCTTCCCGTAATAGCGGACAGACGTTCTCTCAAATTTCCAATAATCTGTCCCCAGGCTCGGAGTCGATGGAATGAAGATGCAGGTCAGGAATTGTCGGGGGCAAGGGGTGGGTTGTTGGGGGGATGGGATGGGGGTGTTGGTGGGAGGGGCTTGCTGTGGATGGTGCTGTGGGGTAGGGGCTTGTTGTGAGGGAGGGGCTTGTGGGGGGTTGTAAGGGGTGTTGTGGGGGTGGGGCTTGGTGGGGGCGTTCTGGGGGCGGGGCTTGTTGGTGGGTTGGGGGTGGGGCTTGTTGGGTGTGTTGTGGGGGAGGGGCTCGTTGTGAACTGTTTGTTTATGTCCAGGGGACGAATGGCTCTCAGCTGTGGGACACAGCATTCACCGTCCAGGCCTTCTTGGAGGTAAGCGGTGTGGGGAGGGTAGTTTCTGGGGCGGGCTGGTGGGGGGTGGGAGTATCTGAGGGGATCGAATCACTGACTCTGTTTCCTGTCTCAGGCCGGTGCTCAGAATTGCCCAGAATTCACCACCAGCCTCACGCTTGCCCATCAGTATCTGCGCATCACACAGGTACCGGGGGAAGGGGAGACCTTGGAGGGGAGGGTAGACCCGGGAGGAGGGGGTGAGCCCTGGGGGGGATGGAGACCTCTTGGTGGGGGGAGACACCTGAGAAGGGAGACCCGGGCGGGTGGGGGGAAACCCAGAGGGGGAGACCCCGGGTTGGGGAGATCATGGGGTATGTGGAAAGACCCCGGAGTTCCCTGCGGACAAGCTGATGTTGATTGTCCTGTTTTAGGTGCAGGAAGCCCCCCCTGACTACGATAAGTATTACCGGCAGTTGAACAAGGTGAGCAAAATCTGAGTCCACACTGTGTGTGTCTGTATGTGTTTGCCCAGTGTGTGTGTATGGCCATCGGGTATGTGCGTGTTTATCATGTGTGTGCGTGTATGCCTGGCATGTGTATATGCGTGCCTGGCATGTGTGCGTGTGTGTGCCCGGCGTGTGTGTGTGTGCCCGGCATGTGTGTGCTGGGTTTGTGTGTGTGCCCAGCATGTGTGTGCTGGGTGTGTGTCTACATGCCCATTGTGTGTGTGGGTGTACATGCCAGTTTGTGTGTTTGTGTCTGGCGTTTATGTGTGTGTGCCAGCGTGTGTGTGCCCGGTGTGTGTCTGTGCACTGTGTGTGTGCCCGGTGTGTGTCTGTATGTGTGTGCCTGGTGTGTTTGTGCCCAGTGTGTGTTTGTGTTGGTGTGTGCCTGGTGTGTGTGTGTGTCCGGCATGTGTGTCTGTGTATGTGTTGGGGTGTGTGCCTGATGTGTGTGTGCCCAGTGTGTGTGTGTTTGTGTGCCCAGTGTGTGTGTGTGCCTGGTGAGTAGGTACCCGGTGTGTGTGTGTTTGTGTGTCCAGCGTGTGTGCCCGACGTTTGTGTGTGTACCTGGCGTGTCTGTTTGTGTGTCTAGTGCCCTGTTTGATGACGATCCCTGTGTGCAGGGCGGATTCTCGTTCAGCACGCGGGACTGTGGCTGGGTGGTGGCTGACTGCACGGCCGAGGCCCTGAAGTCATTGCTGTTGCTTCAGGAAACATGTCCGTTCATCAGTGACCATGTCATCGACCAGCAGCTGCACCAGGCCGTCCATGTGGTGAGCTACTGGCCCGAGAGGGTGTGGGAGGCAGGGACAGAGAGCGCGGGGGGAGGGGGTGTAAACAGTGGTGGGGGAGGAGGTGCCGGGGCCAGCAGTGGGGAAGAGAGGGGTGTGGTGGATTGGAGGGAGGTAGGGGAGAAGGGTGACAGGAGCAGTGGGGGACGAGGGTGTGGAAGCGGTTTGGGGTTTGCTGGGGCCAGCGGGGGGCGGGGGTGCTGTGGGGCTATGAATGGTCTGTGGTGGGGGTGACAAGCTGCTGGTTGTGTTTCAGTTACTAACGATGAGAAATACAGATGGCGGCTTCTCTACGTATGAGAGAAAACGGGGGGGGCGGCTGCTCGAACTACTGAACCCCTCCGAGGTCTTCGGTCAGTCACTGCCTTTCTTTTCCGCAATCGGTATCCACGGGGTTCAGTCACTGGGGCTTGGTTGATCTCTTGACTTCTGACCTCCTCCTGTTACAGGTGATATAATGATTGACTACACGTATGTGGAGTGCACGTCGGCTGTGATTCAGGCACTCAGACATTTCCAGCAGAAACACCCCCACCACCGAGCCTTCGAAATCAGGTTAGGGCATGTGCAGTAGTGGGGTTGGGGCGGGGTGTGAGTGTGTGCGAGAATGTGTGCGGGGGCTAGAATAACCTGTTACTCTCTGAGGTATCAGTCACAGTTGAGGTGTGTCTATAACATTTACACTGTTTTTGTGTAGCCGGGTGTCTGACACATGCGGAAACTGATCACAGGCTTAAGAATCTCCAAACTAGACTGAGATTTCCATGCATCCCACCTACATATGGAAATCCCAGAGATAGATTGTTGGAATGGAATGCACACTCTCTCCCTCAAGGGCATATCCTGCTTACCTAATTCTGCAAAGTATTAGGCGCAGGTTGGCAAGAGCCAATTAAAACCACTCAACTCGATATTGAGAGCACTGTCTGGCAAGCTTTTCCACTTCTTATTCAGCTAAGACCACCCTACACATTGGGGATTTAGCTTGCAGAGTCAATGGGAGATGAGTGGGAGGTTTCACTGACCCCGGTGACTAGTCTGCCCTTCCAGGTGAGTCAGTACCCTAAAACCCCAGCACCCCAAACCCCCAATAGCACCCCAACCACTCCACCAGTACCCCAATCCCCAGCAGCCCAAGCCCCCAGCAGAACCCCAACTCTCCCAGGAGCCTAACCACCCAACCATCACCCCAACCACTGTTATCAGCAGTGCTCTGGAATGCTGCGAACCCGCCTGACTCAGCAAGTTCTGAACTCTTCATCTCTTCTTCCAGAGACACACTGAACAAAGGCCTGGAATTCTGCCGTGGCTGCCAGCGGCCGGATGGATCATGGGAAGGGTAAGGGTGGGTGGGGTGCTGGTGGGTGGATGGAGTGCTGGTGGGATTGGGATGCTGGGAGGGTTGGGCTGCTGGTGGGGCGAGTTGGAGTCCTGGTGGGGGGGTTGGGGAACTGAGGGATTTGGGGTGCTGGGGGAGACTGGGGTGCTGGGGAGGTTGGGGTGCTAGTGGGGGGGTGGAGTGCTGGTGGTGCTGGTGAGGTAGTTGGGGTGCTGGGCGGGTTGCGGTGATGAGTGGGTGGTTGGGCTGCTGGGGGAGTTGGGGTTCTGCTGGGGGCTTGGGGAGCTGCTGGGAGCTTGGGGTGCTGGTGGTTGGGGTACTGGTGGGGTTGTTGGGGTGCTGGGGGGTTGGGGTGCTGGGGGTTTGGAGTACTGGTGGTGGGGTTGGGGTGCTGGTGAGGGTTTGGGGTAATGTTGGGTGGGTTCGGGTGCTGGTGGGGGGTTTGGGGTGCTGTTGTGGGGGTTGGGGTGCTATTGGGAGTTTGTGGTGCTGGTGGGGATGGAGGGTCGGTGTGCTGGTGGGTTGGTTCGGTTGCTGGTGGGATTGGGGTGCTGGTGGGGGTGTTGGGGTGCTGGTGCATGGTTTGGGGTGCTGGGCAGGTTGGGGTGATGGTTGGGCTGCTGGGGGAGTTGGGGTGCTGCTGGGGGTTTGGGGTGCTGCTGGGGTTTTGGGGTGCTGGGGATTGGGGTACTGGTGGGGTGGTTGGTGTGCTGTTGGTGGGTTGGGGTGCTGGGGTTTTAGGGTACTGGTGGGAAGGTTGGAGTCTTCCGCTCCACCCTCGGCGGCCGTGCCTTCAGCCACTATGCCCCGAGACTCTGGAACTCCCTTCCTCACTCCCTTCACCTCGCTCCCTCCCTTCCTACTTTCAGGTCTCTGCTGAAGACCTTTATTTTCTACCGCGCCTTTGGTCACCTTCCTCTGAGACCCCGTCTGGCAGGGAGGGCGCTATATAAATCCAAGTTGTTGTTGGTGGTGCTAGTGGGGAGTTGGGGTGCTGGTGGGGTGTTGGGGTGCTGGTGAGGGGTTGGGGTGATGGACAGTTTGGAGTGCTGGGCAAGTTGGGGTGCTGTTTGGGTGTTTGGGATGCTGGGGTTGTGGGGATGGGGTGTTGTGCAGGTTGAGTGCTGGAGGGGCTGGGTACTGCTGCGGGTGGGGTGGGTGTTGGTGGGGGGGTGGGGTGCTTGGGGGTTTGAATACTGGGGGCAGGGTGCTGGGGGGGCTGAGTGGTGGGGATTTGCATACTGGGGTTTGGGGTGGAGGGTTTTGGGTGCTGGTGGAGTGGTTGGGGTGTTGTCCTCGTGTGGGGCTTGGTGTGCTGGGCGGGTTGGGGTGATGGTTGGGTGGTTAGGCTGCTGGGAGAGTTGGGGTTCTGCTGGGGGCTTGGGCTGCTGGGGATTGGTGTACTGGTGGAGTGGTTGGGGTGCTGTTGGTGGTTTGGGGTGCTGGGATTTTAGGATACTGGTGGGAATGTTGGGGTCCTGGGGGTGGATTGGGGTGCTGGTGGGGGCATTGGGGTGCTGGTGAGAGGGTTTGAGTGCTGGTGGGAGCATTGAGGTGCTGGTGGGGGCGTTGGGGTGCTGGGCAGGTTGGGGTGCTGGTTGGGTACAGTGGGTTACTCTTTGCTTTCTCGGCAGGAGTTGGGGTGTGTGTTTCACTTACGGAACCTGGTTTGGGATGGAGGCGTTTGCCTGTATGGGACACACGTACCAGAGAGGGTGAGTGTCAATAGCTTGTCTGTCCTGGCATCTCAGGCCCCCCCCCATTTACAATGTGTGTGTGTGTGACTCCCCACCCATCCCCTCTCTCACTGTGTGTGTGTGAGACCCCCTTCCCCTCTCTCATTCCCATTCCAGTTAATCATACATTCAATAGAGAAAGTAAACAACCAAAAACACGCAGTTCTACTTCATAGGAGAGACAATTTGATCATAGGAATTCATGGATCTGATGATGCAGCAATCCATCAGGGCAATACTGAGGTGTTGCCCTCAGTAACATTATAAGCTCAGTTCCCAAAGTCAGCTTTCAATCCACGACTGTCTGATCCAAGTGGCTGGCTGCTACCTGTGGAGTCCTGCAGCTCAGTGGTTAGAGCACTCGCCTCCCAAGTGAGAGATATGGGTTTGATTTCCAGCAGGGCGAAACGTTGTGCAAGTTTCCTTATGGTGGATCACTTTTCCGGGGGTAATAATTCCTTAAAAAAAACAATAAATTGGCCACTTCAATCCATGACTGTTTGTGGGATACTGCTGTGCGCAATTGGCTGCCGCGTTCGCCCACAAATATACAGTCAATTCACTTTACAGTGTGTTCTGTGAAGCGCTTTGGGACGTCCTCCCGACGTGAAAAGCGCTATATAAAATGCAAGGATTATTATTATTTATTATTACCTGCTGAAAGCCTAAAGCAGCAGTGGGCAAGGTGTGGCCCCACCGACCCCTGCTAAATTTCACATGAGATTTGGTAAGTCGGCGTTCGATCATAGTGTGTTTTCATTTTTTTCTTGATTGAAAATTTTTGATTCATGGCATAAATCAAGTTTACCTAGCAGTAAGTAAGAACCAGTTGTCAGTTGATTGGTGGATTGCTTTTCCGGCGGTAATAATTCCTTCAAAAAGAAGGTAGTAAATTGGTCACTCAATCCACAACTGTTTATAGGACCCACCTCTTCTGCAAATGGCAGCTGCGTTTTGCCCACACTAAACACAGTCAATTCACTTTACAGTATATTTTGTGAAGTGCTTTGAGACATCTCAAAGACGTGGTAACAACAACAACAAAATTACATTTGTAAAGCGCCTTTCACATCGGGAGGACATCGCAAGGCAGTGAACAGTTGGGGATCAGGACCCGAGCGTGAAGGGGCAGGTTTGAGATGAGGTAGGGCAGAGGTAGGCGGGCAGCTGAAGGCATGTTCGAAAAGGAGGTTCTTGAGTCCTTGAAGGAGGCAAGGTAGGGAGCATGGCAAAGGGATTGTGGGATGGAGTTCCAAAGGGTGGGGGCTGAAAGCCCGGTCACTGACGGTAGGGCGGGTCGGGTGCGAGACATGGAGCAGGCCGGAGCCTGCTGAACAGAACGAGTGGACAGGTTGACGGGATTAGCAGGTCAGAGATGTAGGAGGGGCAAGTCCATGGAGGGCCTTGAAAGTGAGGACGAGAATTTTGAATTCTATCCTCTGAGGGATGGGGAGTCAGTGGAGCCGGGCAAGGGTGGGGATAATGGAGTCACGGAGCCTGGTGTGGGAGAGGACATGAGCTGCAGAGTTATGGATGATCTGCAGCTTGTGGAGGCAAAAGTTGGGGAGGCCGACGAGGGAGTTTCCGTAGTCGACCTTTGAGGTTACAAATGTGTGTATGAGGGTTTCAGCAGCCTGCGGGGTGAGGCAGTGGCAGAGTCGGGCAATGTTGCGGAGGTGGGGGAAGGCAGAGTGGGTCATGGTTCGGATATGGGGGAGAAAGGACAGTTAAGGGTCGAACAAGATGCCTAGGTTCCTGACTGGCTTGGTGAGGTGGAATGTGCATCCGTGAATGCTAATGCTGCCAGTGCCTGAGGCGCAAGCCAATCAGGAGGGCCTCCTGGCTGACATTCAGCTGCAGAAAGTTGGCTCTCATCCAGGACTGACGTCAGTGGTCCTGGAATCGAGGGTGGAGGCAGAGAGATAGAATTGGGTGTCATCCGCATAAATGTGGAAGTTGACCCCATGTCTGCAGATGATGTCACCAATGGGGAGTATGTAGAGGTATGTAGCGAAAAGGAGGGGACTGAGGACAGAGCCCCGAGGAACACCTTATAAGACTGGAAGAGAAACCGTTGTAGGGGCAAATTGGAGACAGTGTGAGAGATAAGATATGAACCATTCAAGGAAAGAACCTTGAAGGTTGAGGTGAGAGGAGAGGCGGTGGAGAAGGATGGAGTGGTTTGTGGTAGCAAAGGCAGCAGAGAGGATGAGGAGGCAGAGGGAGCCCTGGTCACAGATGGACAGGGTGTTGTTTGTAACCTTGACCAGAACAGTTGGGAAGAACAACTTTTTCAAGGACCTTGGAAAGAAAAGAGAGCTTGGAGATGGGCTGGTAGTTGGAAAGCAGGGATGGGTCCAGGGAAGATTTTTTCAGGATGGGGGTGATCATAGCTGTTTTTAGTGGGATGGGAATAGTGTTGGATGATAGGGAGAGATTGATGATGTCGGAGAGTAGAGAGGCATGGAGGTGGAGCTGGGAGGAAAGGAGAGGGTTGGGGGTGGGGATCAAGAGAGCAGGTGGTGTAAAATTGGCAGTTAGTCATGGACCAGGTGTTAGGGATTAGTTAATTAGTTAATTATTTGCTGACCAGTTGAAACTGGTTGTGTCAAAGGCCTAAATAAAAGGGAGAATTGCAAGAGCTTCACTTGAGCAGAGAGCCCAGCAGAGTGAGGTTGGAACGGTGTGGGAATTCTGTTCAGGAATTTGGTGAGAGTGGAAAACAGGTACAGAGGGGGAGACAGGTGCATCATTTGTAATTTTGTTGTTGTGTAAAATATATATTTATATTAAAATAATATAAAGCATTTCTGGAATATGGCAGGGAACCTGAGACCTGTTGCATGTGCAATGTGTACCATGTGGTAACTCCAGGATGCTTTGTATGCCCTGGACAAACACGTGTGTAGGACGTGCGTCTGGCTGCTCAGGGTTTCTGAGCTCAACAAGAAGCTGGAGTCACTACATAACATACGGGAGGCTTATGGATCGAACATTTCAGGAGGTGGGCTCCCCACAGCCAGAGAGGGTTCAGAAGGAGAGTGAGTGGGTGACCACTTGGTATGGTAGGAAGAGGGGATGGGCAGTGCAGAAATCTCCTGAGAGTGTGGCACTCACAAACCAGTTCTCCGTACTGAATACCGATGAGGGTGGTGACACCTCTGAGGAGAAGAGTCAAAAGCAAATAGATGCACAGGGGGACACAGAGAAGACTGTCAATGAATGCATGGCTGGAGAAATGGTGCAGAAAGGAGGGCTTCATGTTCCTGAAACATTGGGATCAGTTTTGGGGCAGTTGGGACCTGTACAAGGTGGATGGGTTACACCTCAACAGGGCTGGGATCAATGTCCTCGCAGGGAGGTTAACTGGTGCTGTGGGGAAGGGTTTAAAGTACTTTTGAGCAAGGAAGGGAATCAGTATGTAACATCAGAGGGGGGGAAACAATTTACATAGAGGGCTGGGAGAGACAAATAGCAATGCAATAAGTAGTCCAGAAAAAGGAGGGATTAGACTGGGGAGAAATGCAGAGCAGACTCAGTCGGTGTTGGAGTGCATGTGCATAAATGCACGGAGCGTGACAAATAAGATTGGTGAGCTGCAGGCGCAAGGTGCCACATGGGGTTATGATGTAGTGGCAATAACGAAGACCTGCCTCAAACAAGGGCAGGAATGGAAGCTGAATATTTCTGGCTACAATGTCTTCAGGAGGGATAGGGAAGAAAAAANGGAGAGTGGGGTGGCAATATTGACTAAAGACACAGTTATGGCCCTGGAAAGAGACGATGTGCTAGAGGGTCCTAAAACAGGATCTACTTGGTTAGAGCAGAAAAGGAGCTGTTAAGTGTATACTATAGACCACCAAATAATGGGAAGGAGATAGACGAGCAAATCTGCAAGTAGATTTCAGAAAGATGCAAAACCAAAAGGGTAATAATCCTTGCATTTGATATAGCGCTTTTCACGTCTTATAGAAGTCTCAAAGGGCTTAACAGAATATACTGTAAAGTGCATTGATTATATTTGTGAACAAAACGTGGCAGCCAATTGCGCACAGCAGTGTCCCACAAACAGTCATGGATTGATGTGACCAATTTTTTTGTTGAGGGATTATTATCAGGCGTGTGGAGTAAGGAAACTTGCCCAAGGTTTTGCCCTGCTGGGAATCAAATCCAGCTCTCTCGCATGCGAGGCGAGTGCTCTGACCATTGAACTACAGGACTCCACCATAAGAGTAATGATAATGGTAGACTTCAATTATCCTAACATAGACTGGCAAAATAACAGTGGAAAGGGCAAGGAGGGGGAAAGATTCTTGAAATGTGTATAGGATAACGTTCTGGAGCAGGTTTCAGTAGGAGAGCATCTGGATAACCGTGATCACAACATCATTAGGTTTAGAGTACTTATTGATTAAAGGAACAATCAAAGGTGAAGATACTCAACTGGAAGAGGGCTAATTTCAGTGAGTTAAAACGGGAGAGGGTGGAGAAATTGGATAAAAAAAAAAAAAAAATCCCGAGAGGAGGTTCTAAAAAGCTAGATGGTGCACAAGGTAGATAAGTCACCTGGTCCGGACAGGATGCAGCCTAGGTTACTGAGGGAAGTAAGGGTGGAAATAACAGAGGCTCTGGCCACAATCTTTCAATCCTCCTTGGACACCGGGGGGTGGTGCCAGAGGAATGGAGGGTTGCAAATGTTACTCCCTTGTACAAAAAGGGGCAGAAAGATAAACCCGGGAACTACAGCCTAACTACTGGCCAATCAGCCTAACGTCCTAACTATAGCCCAACGACAGGCCAAATCAGAAGTGGGGAAACTTCTAGAGACTATAATCCCAGACAAAATAAATTTTCACTTAGAAAAATATGGGTTAATAAAGTTCAGCCAACATGGATTTGCTAAAGGCAAATCGTGTCTTAACAAACCTGGTAAGTTTTTTGATGAAGTAATGGAGAGGGTGGATGAAGGAGTGCAGTTGATGTAGTTTAGATGGATTTTCAAAAGGCACTTAAGAGGCATGTAAGCAAAATAGAAGCCCACGATATCAAAGGGACAGTGGCAGCATGGATACAGAACTGGCTGGGAGACAGAAAGCATAGAATGGTGGTGAACAGTTGTTTTTCTGAATGGAGGTAAGTGTGCAATGGTGTCCCCCAGGGTTTGGTATTGAGACCACTGCTGTTTTTGGTCTATATAAATGATCTGCACTTGGGTATAAGGAGTACAATTTCCGAGTTTGCAGATGATACTAAGCTGGGAAAAGTAGTAAACAGTGAGGAGGATAGTATCAGACTGCAAATGGACATAGACAGACTGGTAAAATGGGCAGACACGTGGCAGATGAAGTTTAATGTGGAGAAATACAAAGTGATGCATTTTGGAAAGAAGAATAAGGAGAAGCAATATAAGCTGATGGTACAATCTTAAAGGGGGTGAAGGAACAGGGAGATCTGGGGCTTCATATAAGTAAATCTTTGAAGGTGGCAGGTGGATAAGGCTGTTTTTTTTTTTAAAAGCATACAGGATACTAGGTTTGATTAAATAGGGGCATAGAATACAAAAGTCAGGAAATTATGATGAACTCCATAAAACATTGGTTAGGTTTCAGCTAGAGTACTGTGTTTAATTCTGGGCACTACACTTTAGGAAGGAAGTCAAGGCATTGGAGAGGGTGCAAAGGAGATTTGCCAGGATAGTACCAGGAATGAGGGAATAATGAGGATTATTCTCCTCGGAGCAGAGAAGGTTAAGAGGAAACTTAATAGACGTTTTCAAAATTATGAGGGGATTCGATAGGATGAACAAGGAGAAACTACTTCCACTGGCGGGTGGGTCCTAACCTGAGGACACTGATTTACTATAGTTGTTAAAAGAAAAAGGAGAGGTGAGGAGAAATGTTTCCACAGAGCGAGTTGTTTGGATCCAGAATGAAGGGGTGACGGAAGCTGATTCGATAACAACTTTTAAGAAAGAAGTAGATAATTATTGCTTAGAAACACTTTCCCATCATGTCTTCATATGGACCAGCAATTGCATAATAATAATAATCGTTCCATTTGATATGGAGCCTTTGACATCAGGAGTTTGTCTCTGGATTTACGACAACAAAACTACATTTGTAAAGTGCCTTTCACGTTGAGAGGATGTCGCAAGGCGCTGGACAATCAGGCTTTTGTGTGTTTCTGGTGTGTTTGCGGGTGTGAACCTCTTTCTGTAGATAAAGGGTTATGATGGACACTGTCGCTCTCTCTCTCTCTCCCCCTCCTTCCAGGGCTGCCTGTCGAGAGATAACCCGAGCGTGTGAGTTCCTGCTCTCAAAACAGATGGTGGACGGGGGTTGGGGCGAAGACTTTGAGTCCTGTGAGAGTCGACAGTACGTGCAGAGCAGCTCCTCCCAAGTCCACAACACCTGCTGGGCCCTGCTTGCACTGATGGCAGCCAGGTGAGTGAGAGGAGGGGCAGCCAGGTGGGGAGGGGTGGCCAGGTGAGTGAGGGAAGGGGGGCTGAGGGGGGGGGCTGAGGGGGAGTGAGGGGGGGGGCTGAGGGGGAGTGAGGGGCGGGGCTGAGGGGGAGTGAGGGGAGGGAGTGAGGGGGGGCTGAGGGAAGTGGTAACACCAGCCGCATGAGTCTGTGTTTCTCTCTCTCTTTCTTTCTGTGCAGATATCCCGGGACCCGGGCGATCGAGAAAGGCATCAAAACCCTGATAAACAAACAACAGCTGAATGGAGACTGGCCTCAGGTACTGTGACAGTTCTCACATCTAATTGTATACCTGGGTTATAATAGCGCTCAGTGTACTAAATGGAATTGAATTTAACAGACTTGAAAATTCAACTGTTTTATTGCCTCACTTACAAGATAAACGGTCGCACTGTTAAGAAACAGAAAAACCCTGACACCATAACTGTGACACGAGCAGCTTTGCCCAAAGTGAGTAGACAATGAAAAAACAATCTTGACCTGGAGACAAGGCTCTCAGATTTGACACGTACCTCTTTGATGACACTAAAGGTGAAGAGGGACCCCGAGTTTAACGAAACCTCAAACCTCCTTGTTTTATTTTGTGGAGTCCTGTAGCTCAGTGGTGAGTGCATCGCCTCACAAGTGAGAAGATTTGGGTTCGATTCCCGGCAGGGCGATACGTTGTTTCCTTATTTTCCTTATTTTTTTCTTGGTTTCCTTACTGCAAACACCTCTGTTTATGCCCAATTCACTTAACAGTACATTCTGTGAAATGCTTTGAGATGTCTCGAAACCCCCCCTGCCCTGCCCCCCTGCCCTTGGTGGTGCTGTATGTTGCCGGTGATGCCTGATCTTTATTCCCAGGAGAACATCGCCGGTGTCTTCAACAAGTCCTGTGCCATCAGCTACTCTGCATATCGCAACATCTTCCCCATTTGGACCCTCGGCCGCTTTGCAAGACTCTACCCCAACAGCGATCTGGCCGGCAAACTTCAGCTGTGATCAGCGCGGAGGGACTGGGGGGTGACGCTGGACGGGTGGTGGCAGGGATGGGCTGGGGTGATGGGGGTGGGGTGGTAATGAGCCAGGGTGATGGTGGCGGGTTGATGATGGGGATGTCGTAAGAAGATTAGATTAAACAGCTTTGAGCTGCGATTGACCAAACTAGTTCTATCATTGGACAAACCAACTTCAAACTCCACCTCTGTAACCAATCTTCACGAGTATAGACTTTGTGTATAAAGGAGTTTTGGTTGGTTTCACTGAAATGCAGATCGGACCAACTTCCTGCTGCTCTCCCAGGGATAGGTCATCTGTGCTTGTTCTCTGAAACCTGGTTGCTGCTATAATCACATCAAGTGATTGCCGTTCAATGTTCTCTGTATAACTGTTGAACTAATAAAGGAAACTATGTTTAACATTCAAATTCGTAAGGATAAATGTTAGGTTCAAAATACAGAAGATAATCAAATAGAATACTGAAAGTACAGAAGAGAGCTAAAAAAGGAAACGAGTGGCAAAGAGATTGTATGAGAAAAGATTAGCGGGTAACATAAGAACAACAAAATTACATTTGTAAAGCACCTTTCACATCGGGAGGTCGTTCCAAGGCACTGGACAAACATAGAAGCGAACCCTAAGATACTTTATAAGCATACAAAAAATAAAAGGTTAGTCAAAGTTAGGGTGACTCCTCTTCCCAAAAGAAGAGGATGCTGCTATTGTTACAGTGTCAAGAGGAGAGGATAGAGTAATTGAATAAGATAAAACCAGAGGAGCTACTAAAAAGGTTGACGGTGCTCAAGATAGATGAGTCACCCGGTTTGGATGTTGCTGAGGGAAGTAAGGGAGGAAATAACAGGTTTTGGCCACAATCTTTCAAGCCTCCATGGACACCGGGGTGGTGCCAGAGTACTTAAAGGTTGCAAATGTTACTCTCTTGGGGCTGAAGGATAAAGCTAGGAACTATAGACCAGTCAGGCTAACATCAGTAGTGGGGAAACTTCTGGAGACTATAATCTGGGCCAAAGTAAATCTTCACTTAAAAAATATGGGTTAAGAAAGGACAGCTAACAGATTTGTTAAAGGTAAATCACGTCTAACAAACCTGATAGTTTTTTGATGAAGTAATGGAGAGGGTGGATGAAGGAGTGCAGTTGATGTAGTTTATATGGATTTTCAAAAGCTGTTTGATAAAGTGCCATATACAAGACTTGTAAGCAAAAGTCTTGTATATGGCACTTTATCAAACAGTATATCCACTGTATAAAAGGGACAGTGGCAGCATGGATACAGACCTGGCTGGGACACAGAAAGCAGAGAGTGGTGGTGAACGGTTGTTTTTCTGACTGGAGGGAAGTGTACAGTGGTGTCCCTCAGGGGTCAGTATTGAGACCACTGCTGTTTTTGATCTATACTGATCTGCACTTGGGTATCGGGTGTATAATTTCCAAGTTTGCAGATGATACGAAGCTAGGAAAAGTAGTAAACAGTGAGGAGGATAGTATCAGACTGCAAATGGACATAGACAGACTGGTAAAATGGGCAGAAATGTGGCAGATGAAGTTTAATGTGGAGAAATACAAAGTGATGCATTTTGGGAGGAAGAATGAGGAGAGGCGATATAAGCTGATGGTACAATCTTCAAGGAAGTGAAGCAACAGAGAGACCTGGGGTTCATATCAGTAAATCTTTGAAGGTGGCACGACAGGTACATAAAGCTGTTCAAAAAAAGCATACGGGATACCAGGCTTTATAAATAGGGGCATAGAATAGGAGACTTAATAGAAGTTTGCAAAATTTTGAGGGGATTCGATAGGGTGAACAAGGAGAACCTATTTCCACTGGCTGGTGGATCAGTAACTCGAGGACACTGATTTAAAATTGCTAAAAGAAACAGACGGGAGGTGAGAAATTTTCACACGGCAAGTTGTTTGCATCTAGGATGCATTGCCTGAAAGCGTGGTGGAAATCGATTCGATAACAACCTTTTAAGTGAGAACTAGATAATTATTTTGGGAGGATAAGTTTGCAGGGCTATGGGCAGAGAGCGGGGGAGTGGGATTGATTTGGATAGCTCTTTTAAAAGAGCCGGCACAGACACAATGAGCCGAATGGCCTCCTTCTGTGTTGTATAATTCTATGATTTTATGAAATTACTCACTTTATTTTATTAATTGAATAAGAAACACATAGTTTTCTTACAGTGGTGGTTGGAAGTAATGGAGTTGGCGGGGGTCGGGGTAATGGAATAGATGGGATGGGTTCTGCGCTGTTCTATGTGTCAGAGTTCTCTCTGTGACAGCGCGTTCCGATCTCTGACTCACAATTGCCGGCCTTCACCGGCCTTGGCCTCTGCTTTCTGATCTTTAAACATGTGTGATGATGCCGACCTGATTCGGCGAGACAACCTGAAGCTCATGGCAGAGAACAAGGCTCTGAAGAGACAGATCAGTCTCCTCAAAGAGAATGAGGAGCTCCGCAACCTCCTCTCCTCCAACTGTGCCCCATTAGTCACACCTCAACCATCCAGCTACAACCTCCACAACCCAGACCGCCTACTGCCAGGTACCACTCCCCCCCACCCCCCCACAGCCAGATAACACCCCCTCCACTGCCAGATAGCACCCCCCCCACTGCCAACTACCCCCCTCCCCACTACCAGGTACCATCCCCCCTCCAGCCCCCACTGCTAGTTACCCCTCCCCCACTGCTAGTTACTCCTCCCCCACTGCTAGTTACCCCCCCCACTGCCAGGTACCCCTCCCCCACTTACTGGTACCTCGCACAATGCCATGTACTCTCCACCCACTGCCAGGGACCCTGCCTCCCCACTGCCAGGTAACCCCCAACGAATGCTAGGAACCCTTCCGCCAGGTACGCACACCCACACACTCACTCACCACCCCCCCCCCCACCCCACCCCCACTGCCAGGTACCTGACCCCCCACTGCCAGGTACCTGACCCCCCCCACCCCCACTGCCAGGTACCTGACCCCCCCGCCCCCACTGCCAGGTACTCCCCTGCCCCCACTGCCAGGTACCCCCCCGCCCCCACTGCCAGGTACCCCCCCCGCCCCCACTGCCAGGTACCCCCCGCCCCCACTGCCAGGTACCCCCCCGCCCCACTGCCAGGTACCCCCCCGCCCCCACTGCCAGGTACCCCCCGCCCCCACTGCCAGGTACCCCCCGCCCCCCCACCGCCCCCACTGCCAGGTACCCCCCCGCCCCCACTGCCAGGTACCCCCCCCACCCTGCCCCCCGCCTCAGTTGCCAGGCCCCCACTGCCAGGTACCCCCCCGCCCCCACTGCCAGGTACCCCCCCGCCCCCACTGCCAGGTACCCCCCGCCCCCACTGCCAGGTGCCCCACTGCCAGGTACCCCCCCGCCCCCACTGCCAGGTACCCCCCCGCCCCCACTGCCAGTACCCCCCCGCCCCCACTGCCAGGTACCCCCCCGCCCCCACTGCCAGGTACCCCCCGCCCCCACTGCCAGGTACCCCCCGCCCCACTGCCAGGTACCCCCCCGCCCCCACTGCCAGGTACCCCCCCCCCCCACTGCCAGGTACCCCCCCCCCCCACTGCCAGGTACCCCCCCCGCCCCCACTGCCAGGTACCCCCCCGCCCCCACTGCCAGGTACCCCCCCCCGCCCCCACTGCCAGGTACCCCCCCCCCCCCACTGCCAGGTACCCCCCCCGCCCCACTGCCAGGTAACCCCCCCCCCGCCCCACTGCCAGGTACCCCCCCCCGCCCCACTGCCAGGTACCCCCCCCCCGCCCCACTGCCAGGTACCCCCCCCGCCCCACTGCCAGGTACCCCCCCCGCCCCACTGCCAGTACCCCCCCCCGCCCCACTGCCAGGTACCCCCCCCCCGCCCCACTGCCAGGTACCCCCCCCCGCCCCACTGCCAGGTACCCCCCCCCGCCCCACTGCCAGGTACCCCCCCCGCCCCACTGCCAGGTACCCCCCCCCCGCCCCCCCCCCCGCCCCACTGCCAGGTACCCCCCCCCCGCCCCACTGCCAGGTACCCCCCCGCCCCACTGCCAGGTACCCCCCCCCGCCCACTGCCGGGTACCCCCCCCCGCCCCACTGCCGGTACCCCCCCCCCGCCCCACTGCCGGGTACCCCCCCCCGCCCCACTGCCGGGTACCCCCCGCCCGCCCCACTGCCGGGTACCCCCGCCCGCCCCACTGCCAGGTACCCCCGCCCGCCCCACTGCCAGGTACCCCCCCCGCCCCACTGCCAGGTACCCCCCCCGCCCCACTGCCAGGTACCCCCCCGCCCCACTGCCAGGTACTCCCCCCGCCCCACTGCCAGGTACTCCCCCCGCCCCACTGCCAGGTACTCCCCCCGCCCCACTGCCAGGTACTCCCCCCGCCCCACTGCCAGGTACCCCCCCCCCCCGCCCCCCCCACTGCCAGGTACCCCCCCCCGCCCCACTGCCAGGTACCCCCCCCCCGCCCCACTGCCAGGTACCCCCCCCCGCCCCACTGCCAGGTACCCCCCCGCCAGTGCCAGGTAACCCCCCGCCAGTGCCAGGTAACCCCCCTCCCCACTGCCAGGTAACCCCCCTCCCCACTGCCAGGTACCCCCCTCCCCACTGCCAGGTCCACCTTCCCCACTGCCAGGTCCACCCTCCTCACTGCCAGGAACCCCTCCCCCACCGCTAGGTACCTCACACAATGGCAGGTACCCTCAACCCACTGCCAATTATGCCCCCACTGCCAGATACCCCCCCCCTACTGCTTAGTACCCCCACCCACTGCCAGGTATCCATCCCCACTGCCAGGTACTCTGCCTCCCCACTGCCAGAAACACCCCCATTGCCAGCTACACCCCCACCACTGCCAGGTACCCCTACTGCCAGGTACCAACCTCCCCCCCCCCCCCCACCACCACTGCCAGCTACCCCCATCCAATGCTAGGGACCCCTCCGTGAGGTGCGCCCCCCCACCCCCCACTGCCAGGTACCCACCAACACTGCCAGGTACCCATTCCCCACTGCCATGTACCCCCCTACCCTCACTCCCCCCACCCCCCCACTGCCAGGTCCTCCCCCACTGCCCCAATGCCAGGTACACCGCCCCCCGCACTATCAGCTACCCCGCCCCCCCACTGCCAGGTATCCCCCCCAATGCCAGGGAACCCCCATACCCACAGTGGGAGCGGGGGAATATTGTTCACTCCACTCTCAATGAGGATAGGTGAGGAGAATGTTTTTCAGTTAGTTGTTCTGATCTGGAATGCATTGCCTGAAATGGTGGTGGAAGCCGATTTGATGACAAATTTCAATAGAGAAGTAGATTATTATTTTGGAAGGACAAATTTGCAAGGCTATAGGGAGAGTGCGGGAGAGCGGGATTAATTTGGACAGTTCTTTCAATGAACTGGCACGGACCCGATGGGCCAAATGGCCTCCTTCTGTGCTGTATAATTCTATGATTCTATGAATTCACGGCTGTTTGTGGAACATTGCTGTGTGAAAATTGGCTGCTTCGTTTGCCTAAAAATATACAGGCACAACAGTAAATCCTGTGAAGCATTTTGAGGTGTCTTGACTCTCTGATAAGGTTCTCAGTTTTAATAGTTAAGCCTGGGAAGCAGTGATGCCCACTCTCTGGCCTGCGCTTCCAGCCCATGTTGAGTGTTGTGTCTGTTCTCTTACAGGTGTCACGTTGTGCAGTTCCCCTGAGCCATGTGGTGTGACTGGCCTGCAGGAACGGCAGGCCAGCCCCACGCTGCAGAACCTGCTGACCCTCTCACTGTCTGATGATCCCCGATCTCTGACCTATGGCAGCTCTCTCCCCAGCCCACATCCCAGCAAGCTGCCCAGCTACTGCCGCTCCCCCCAACTATACGAGAAACGGACACCGAATGTGCCGGGCGGGTTACCGGACGAGGAGATCAGCAAGCAGTTACCAGATGCCGAAGCTCACAACAAAGCCAAGAAGATCTGGTTCTCGGAGTCGGCCAACAGTGAAGAATCCAAGAAACTGTTTCTGGAGGAAGGCAACAAAACACGAGTCTTTTATGTAAATGGTGAGAGCGCACAGTGAGAGTGTGTGTGATATTGCAGTGAGGGTGAACTGGCTCCACCACTAAGACCCATGAGACTAATTTGTAGGACCCAAGAAAGGAAGAATCAAATTCAACAATTTATTATGCTCACAAATGCACATAAATTTGTCTGTGGCGTTCCCTCAAGAACAATCTTTTCACTAACCTGCCCTGTCCCCTGTAACTGATTCATTTTGAGGTATTTGTCCACTTTTCTCTTGAAGGCCAAAATGGATTTGCCGCAATCACCACTCCTAGCAGGGCATAGTTTACTAACTATCTTAAATTTGATGTCCTGTAGTCACTGACTCACTAACTGATGGAAATAATTTTTCCCTATTGACTCTATAAAATCCCCTCAACATTTCTAAGACCCCTCAACTTTTTTTTTCCAGCAGAAAAGTCCCAATTTCTTCAGTCTCCGCTCATAGGCCAAACTATTCATCCCCAGTATCATGCAATCTGATTCAAGTGTCTTTAGTTCAAGGAGAACGCTGTTTTGGGGGGCGTTGATTTTCTCCTTTAATTACAACACTTTAGATTGTCTTTTCTCTTGGCTTCTCTTCTTGTTCTCTTCTTGTCCTCTCTTTTGTGCTATTTGCTTGCGAGGATGTTCTTCATCGATCATGGCAGAAGAGGCTCCACTCTTTCTCCTGCATGTCTGAGCATTTTTGTTTGTTTCCTCCAACCCAGAATATTTTAAACAACCCCAACACAGTTACTTCCACTTCCTTCATCTTTGCATGTTTAATCCGCATATTGACATTTCAGCATGTGAACATTTTACTTCCTTGTCGGATGTTACACATTCCACCCATCTTAGTCCAGAATAATATTGCACATGGTTCAGGGCTATGTACAATAAGAACAGATCTTTTCTATTACACTCTGTGCTAGCAGATCTGTTTTGCACGAACAAACAAGATATATTTCACAACAGTGTGCCATGCTCACTGCCAACTCTAGATAATGGCTGATTTGGCTGGTGTAAGAGCAAGACTCATGCTTACACACACACACATATACACACTTACACACTCTCCCACACACTCTCTCACTTTCTCTCTTACTCTATCTGTTTTGCATTCTCTCTCTCAGAGATGGATTCGTTTTCTAACCTGGAGAAAAACAGCCGTGTTATTGGAGAGATTGCCTTCCAGCTGGACCGCCGGATCCTCGCAAACGTCTTCCCAGGATTGACCCGTCTCTACGGCTACACTGTTTCCAACATTCCCTCCAAGATCAAGCAGGTACCAATCATGACATTGATACTGACTCAAACTCCAACCCCCACCCCCAGCTCAACCCCCAGCCCAACCTCCACCTCTACCCTCCTCCCCAACCTCCACCTCAACCCCAATATCAACCCCAACCTCCACCCAACCCCAATATCAACCCCAACCTCAATCCCAACCCCCACCTCAACCCCAACCCCAACCTTAATCCCAACGGGGAGTTGGTGGGTTGTGCACTGCATATTGCTCTGTGTTTGATGCTGGGTTTCACACTGTCTGGTATAGAACTCTATTAATCCCCTTGATGGAAGTGTGGATAAGCAAAAGTGGCGCCAGATGACTCAGACTTACACTGCATTGCTGTCCAAGCTGGAGAAGCTGAACTACAACAATGACATCCACACTGGCTTCAGTGAGTTTCTCATCAATACCTATGGCATCCTCAAACAGCGGCCGAATGCCTACACCAACATCACCTACAACCCAATCATCCTGCGTAAGATGGTCATCGACATGGTACCAGCCAAGTTCCTCCGTGACACCCTAGTGCTGCTCAACTGCCTGTGTGAGCTGTCCCGCAGCGACAAGAAGCCCCTCTTCCCCTGGTGACCAGTGCCTCTATACATCCCTGACCTCAACCTGAATGATTCACTCACTGAGTCACTCTTACTCATTCATTGACTGACTAACTCAATGACTCAGTCATAATTCTAACTCACTCACTCACTGACACTCACTCATTTGCTCGCTGGCTGCTGATTTCAGTCTCTGTTCCAAGAAGGCTGGGGTGTGGTCACTAACCATGGAATGATAAAAAAGAATATTAAATAGTTTCACCAGAAGCTGTGCTTCTGGTATTGTCTCTGTGTGTCTGTTTTCTAAATCTATCCCACTCTCCAGCTCTCGCTACTCAAATCCTTAATGTTTTTGCTGTTCAGTTGCTGAGCCAGTTCCCAACTGAAATATTTTATTGAACAGCCTCAAGAGCAACTTAAAATCAGAGAATCTTACAGCACACAAGGAGGTCATTCGGTTCATCATGGCTTCTATTGAAATCTGCTTCTACTACCCTTTTAGGCAATGTATTCCAGATCATAACAATTTTTCTGGATACAAAAAGTCTTCTCATCTTGCCTTTGGTTCTTTTGCCAATTGTCTTAGATCCATGTCCTCTGGTTACCAACCAACCCACCAGAGGAAACAGTCAAAACCCCTTAGAGCACAGAAGGTTGAGGGGAGATTTAATAGAGGTGTTCAAAATTCTAAGGAGATTTGCAAGTCTGCCACTACCTCATGGGAATTCCTGAAAGTAAGAATCGAATGTGCACTGTCTCTCTGGAGGGATACATCCTGATTGCTTAATTTCTGAAAGTATTAGGCACACCTTGGAAAGAACCAAGGTTTGTGGACCTCAGAGTGTGAGTTGGCGGTACTGCTGGAGTTTAACAACACTCACATAAGGATATTCTCATACACTCTCACACTTTTTCTCACACACTTTCTCTCACTGGACACACTCTCACACACACACTAACACTTACTCATTTACTCTCACACACAGAGCCTGCCCTTCTCTCTCACATACCATTTCACAGCGTCTCATACACTTTCATACATATACTGACACACACACAATCTCAACTCAGTCACTTATTCCTTGGTTACAGAATTACAGAGTTAGTTACAGATGGTTTGTTTATTATTTAAACCATTAGTTCATGTTTGGTCATTGATTAACCTTCATGTGTTTGTGAATGCGGCTCAGCCTACTCAGCTTCCCCACACAGCCAGAACCTCAGCCCCCATGGCCAGGACCTTAACCCCCCCACTACAAGGACTTCAGCCCCCCACCACCCTGACCAGGACCTCAGCCCCCACCACCAAGACCTTAGCCCCTCCCCTCCAGCCAGGACTTCAAGCTCCCATGACCCAGCCCAGTCAGGACCTCCATCACAGCTACCTGCAGCTCTCTGTTATGCACACCATCATCTGGCTCGTGTCTCAAAACCAAACAACAATATCACACACTCTCCCCAGAGGGATGTCTGCTGGTCACTTCATCCCAAATCAGCTCTGCCCTTCATGTCCTTCCATTGAGCCAGCCTGGTGCCCTGGAGGAGCTCTCCTGTGGCTCAAGAACTGGACTGGAGACTGGCACAAAGAGCGGAATCATTTCCCACATTCCGTGCCAGTTGGAGCCACTTTGAGCTCAGCCCCGAGAAGACTCCGCTCTCCCCTACCCCCTAACCCCCTGACAGTCAGATACTACTTAGAACAGGAGGAATGTTGAGTCACTCATTTACAGAGTGTCTGTCAGTCACTGTTAATCAGTGACATTGGGATCTGGAGCTCTCTGTCCTCTTGCTGAGTCCAGCATCCAAGCCTGGAGTGAAAGTCGGTCACCATGTCTAAACTGGTAGAGTGTGTTCCCAACTTCTCCAATGGGCGAAGCAAGGAAGTGAGTTTGAGCTGTGTATGTATTGTGGCTGTATTGTGTATGTACTGTGTGTTTGTACCACTGTGTGTGTTATGTGTGCGTTCTGGCCACTGTCTCTGACGGTCAATATGGGTGCGTGTGATAGTCAGTGTGTGTGTGCCATTTCTTACTTTGATGAGTACTGTCTCTGTGCTGTGGGCTGGGTGGAAACCGGACTGGAGGGGTTTGAGTAGGGAGTGGTGAGCCAAGTTGGTTTGCATTCCAGGACTTTGGCCAGAAAGGGCAGGTTTGACATGAGACGGTATCGCATACGGTTGAAGGAATGGGGGGTGGTAAGGAGGGGACATGGGACATTTATCTTGGAGATAAAGAAATCCACAAACTCTTTGCATTGGCATTAGATGTTAGGATTGAGGTTGCTTGATGGGGCATGTGGAGGAGGTGGTGGTTGGTAGAGAATAGGATTTTGGAGTTGTTTTGGCCTCTAGGATGAATTGTGAGTAGAATGCAGTTTTGCCTTGCGAGAGGCAGTGGGAGCAGTGTGAGGATGTTCGAGCCACATTTGGCAGTGAACCGTGAGGGTGATTTTTGTACCAGCGGGAGCGGGTAGGTTTGGAGATGGTCCTGGATTTCAGGGGGCAATGGAATTAAAAGTGGAGGAGAAGCAATTGTTTAGCAGCTTGACGGCTGCATCGAGATCGCTGCGGGTGGAAGGTCAGAGGGAGAGAAGGTCCAATGCTGAGAAGGCGTTTGTGAGGGACTCGGGTGGATTAATATGGAGGGTGAAGTTTAGGGAGACATTGACGTTGTTCAGAGAGGAGGGCAGTGAAGTCATAGAAGATGGAGCAGGAGGAGTTGAGGTGAAGGTTGAAGTTGCCCATGATAATAATAATAATAATAATAATCCTTGCATTTGATATAGCGCTTTTCACGTCGGGAGGACGTCCCAAAGCGCTTCACAGAATAGACTGTAAAGTGAATTGACTGTATATTTGTGGGCGAACGCGGCAGCCAATTGCGCACAGCAATGTCCCACAAACAGTCGTAGATTGAAAATGACCAATTTATTATTGTTTTTGTTTTGGAGGGATTATTATTAGGCGTGTGGAGTAAGGAAACTTGCCCAAGGTTTCGCCCTGCCTGGAAATGAACTCAGGTCTCTCACTTGCAAAGCGAGTGCCCTAACCACTGAGCTACAGGACTCCACGATGAACAGGCAATCAGTGTAGAGAGACAGGAATTGAGAAGTGACACAAGATATCCTTGAGGAAGGAGCCAGGAGGTTTTGGGGTCGGTAAACTAGGAGAATTTTGAGGGAGAGAGAGAGGAGGGATGATATAGGGTGAATTGATCAAATGAGGGGAAACAGCCAGAAGAGTAGGGGAATAGACCAAGGGAGGTTTGAGAGATGAGGGCCATCCCACCACCGTGACAGTTGGAGTGGGGGTTGGAAAGTGTAGCCTTGGCGGGGAAGTTTCGATGAGGGGGATGAGGTCATCAGGGGACAGCCAGGTTTCTGTGAGCCCTAGGATGTCAATATGCTCGTCCAGGATAAGGTCGTGGATGGCGAGAGCTTTGTTTGAGAGGGAGCTGACATTTTGGAGGCCAATGCGGGTAGGCGTACTGATGTAAGAGGGTGGAGGGACTGAGTACCTCTTTCCTCCACTTCCGCCACTTGCCCGCCTCCATCTGTACCTCACTCTACTGCCGGAATCCTCGTCCAGGCCTTCGTCACCTCTTGCCTCGACTACTCAAATGCCCTTCTCACTGGTCTCCCCTGCTTCACTATTCACAAAATTTAAAATTCTAAATGCCACCGCCTGCATTCTCACCGGCACTAAACTCCTCACCTCCATTACCCCAGTCCTTACCGAATTCCATTGGCTCCTTGCCACAGAGCAGATCGATTGGAAGATCCTCACTCTTGTATTTAAATCCCTTCATGACCTGGCACACCCCCTATTCCTACCAATCTGCTCTCTCCCTATACCACTACCTGATTAGAGAATCATAGAATTATACAGCACAGAAGGTGGCCATTCGACCCATCGTATCTGTGCCAGCTCTTTAAAAAGAGTTATCCAAATCAATCCCACTCCCCCCGGTCTCTCCCCATAGCCCTGAAAAGTTCTCTCTTAAAAGTTGTTATCGAATCGGCTTCCACCACCCTTTCAGGCAATGCATTCCAGATCCGAACAACTCGCTGTGTGGAAACATTTCTCTTCACCTCCCCTCTGTTTCTTTTAACAACCTTTTTAAATGGGTGCCCTCGGGTTCCCGACCCACCCTCCAGTGGAAATAGTTTCTCCTTGTTCACCCTATCGAAGCCGCTCATAATTTTGAAAAATTCTATTGTCTCCTCTTAACCTTTACAGCTTCAAAGAGAATAATCCTAGCTTAAAGCATTATAGAATCATACAGCACAGAAAGATGCCATTCGGCCCATCGTGTCTGCGCCAGCTCCGAAAAGAGCAATCCAACTCAATCCCACTGGCCCGCTTTCTCTCCATAGCCCTGCAATCCTGTCCTCCCCAAATACCCATCTACTTCTCTCTTAAAACTTGTTATTGAATCGGCTTCCACTACCCTTTCAGGTAATGCATTCCAGATCCAAACAACTTGCTGGGTGAAAAATGTTTTCCTAACCTCCCCTCTGTTTCTTTTAACAACTAACTTAAATCGGTGTCCTTGGGTTACTGACCCACATGCCAGTGGAAACAGTTTTTCCCGGTTCAACCTATCAAATCGTCTCATGATCTTGAACACCTCTATTAAATCCCCTCTTAATCTTCTCTGCTCTAGGGAGAATAATCCTAGTTTCGCTAACCTCTCCTCATAACTAAGGTCCTGGTACCATCCTGGTAAACCTCCTTTGCACTCTCTTCAATGCCCTAACATCTTTCCTAAAGTGCAGTGCCCAGAACTGAAGAGGCTTCTCTAGCCTCTCCTCATAACTAAAGTCCCTCATTCCTGATACCATCCTGGTAAATCTCCATTGCACCCTCTCCAATGCCTTGACATCCCTCCTAAAGTTTGGTGCCCAGAACTGAACACAGCTATATAATAATAATAATAATAATCCTTGCATTTGATATAGCGCTTTTCACGTCGGGAGGACGTCCCAAAGCGCTTCACAGAACACACTGTAAAGTGAATTGACTGTATATTTGTGGGCGAACGCGGCAGCCAATTGCGCACAGCAATGTCCCACAAACAGTCGTAGATTGAAAATGACCGATTTATTATTGTTTTGTTTTGGAGGGATTATTATTAGGCTCTGTGTGGAGTAAGGAAACTTGCCCAAGGTTTCGCCCTCTGCCTGGAATTGAACTCAGGTCTCTTGCTTGCAAAGCGAGTGCTCTAACCACTGAGCTACAGGACTCCACTGAGGCCTAACCAGTGTTTTATAAAGATTCATCATAACTTCCTAACTTTTGAATTCTATGCCCTGCCCTGCCAACTACTTATCTTTAACCCCCAGGTCTCTCTGTTCCTTCACCCCCTTTAAGATTGTACCATCAGCTTATATTACCTCTTCTCATTCTTCCTCCCAAAATGCATCACTTTGTATTTCTCCACATTAAACTTCATCTGCCACATGTCTGCCCATTTTACCAGTCTGTCTATGTCCATTTGCAGTCTGCTACTATCCTCCTCACTGTTTACTACTTTTCCTAGCTTCGTATCATCTGCAAACTCGGAAATTGTACTCCATATACCCAAGTCCAGGTCATTTATATAGATCAAAGCGAGCAGGTGTCCCAATACCGAACCATGGGGGACATCGCCAGTCAGAAAAACAACTGTTCACCATCACTCTCTGCTTTCTGTCTCCCAGTCAGTTCCCTTTCCATGCTGCCACTATTCCTTTAATACCGTGGGGTTCTGTTTTTTTTATAAGTCTCTTATGTGGCACTTTATCAAATGCCTTTAAAATTAAATATAAACTACATCAACTGCACTAACTTCATCCACCCTCTCTGTTACTTCATCAAAAAATTCGATCAGGTTTGTTAGACGTGAAATTAATAATAATCCTTGCATTTTCATTTTCACGTCTTCTCAACATCTCAAAGCGCTTCACAGAATATGCTGTAAAGTGATTTGACTGTATATTTGTGGGCGAAACGCGGCAGCCAATTGCGCACAGCAGCATCCCACAAACAGTCGTGGATTGAAATGACCAATTTAATATTGTTTTTTTTCTTGAGTAAGGAATAAGGAAACTTGCTTTTAACAAATCCGTGTTGGCTGTCCTTTGGCTGACCTGTAGTTCCCGGATTTATCCTTTGGCCCTTTTTGTACAGGGGAGTAACATTTGCAACCCCCCACTCCTGTGGCATCATCCTGATATCTAAGGAGGATTGAAAGATTGTGACTAGAGTCTCCGCTATTTCCACCCTTACTTCCCTCAGTAATCTCATCACGTCATGACTGGGTGACTTGAGCACTGTCATTTTTCTACCCTCGTCTCCGATACTGTGGCATTGGCTACATCCTCTTCTTTTGTGAAGACAGATGCAAATTATTCTTTCGGTATGTCAACAATAACAACAAATGTAAGTTGTTGTTATTGTTGTGTGTGTGTGTCTTGCAGTGACCGACGTTTAGGGTGTGTGTGACTGACGGTCAGGGTGTGTGTGACTGACGGTCAGGGTGTGTGTGACTGACGGTCAGGGTGTGGGCTCCCTTGCCTGCAGATTATTGATGCCATTGCTCAGGCCATTGCCCAGTCAGATGGCTGTTTTCTCCTGGATGTGGACCCTGGCCCCTCCACCAATCGCACCGTCTACACCTTTGTGGGATCTCCAGCGGCCGTGGTGGAGGGAGCTTTGAACGCAGCCCGTGAAGCCCACCGACTCATCAATATGGCAACGCACAGTGGTGAGGGGAGAGGGAGAACGTGAGTGGGCAAAGGGGAGGGGCGTTGGGTAAGGGCGGGGATGTGGATAGGGCAAATGTGCCTCTGTGCTATACATTCTGTGTTGTGTGCTGTGTTGTATACTATGATGTATGTGCTATACACTGCTGTACATTATCCTGTACACTGTGCTGTACATTGTATTGTACTCTGTGCTGTGTGTGATGTACACTGTGCTGTACCCTGAGCTGTGTGTGATGTACACTGTGCTGTACCCTGAGCTGTGTGTGATGTACACTGTGCTGTACCCTGAGCTGTGTGTGATGTACACTGTGCTGTAGGTGAACACCCACGCCTGGGGGCGTTGGACGTCTGCCCATTTGTTCCTGTCCGTGACGTCACCATGGAGGAGTGTGTCCAGTGTGCTGTCAGCTTCGGCCAACAGCTCGCCAGCCAGCTGCTGGTACCTGGTGAGCACTGCCCTACCCCCAAACCACCGCACCACCCCCCACACCGAACCACACTCCCAACCACCTCCCCCACCACACCCCCAACCACACCCACCCCTAAATCCAAATACACCCCCAATCACACCCACCCCTAAACCCAAATACACCCCCACCTCAGACCTACTCCAGCTACACATCCCCAACCACAACCCCATCCCAACCGACACCCCCACACCCCAACCCCGACTACACCCTCACCCCACCCCAAATACAACCCCACCCCAATCCCAGGCTCACCGCCAACCCCACCCCAACTACACTACCACCCACCCCTACCCCAACTACACCCCCTCCATCACTCCAACTATACCCCGACCCAACCAAACCCCAACTCCAACTACACCAACAGCTCACCCCAAAACAAATACCCACCCCAATCACACCCCATCCCAACCACAAACCCATCCGCACCCCAACTACACCCCCACCCAACCCCCACACCCACCCAAATACACCCACACCCCAACTACACCCACTCCCCCACAACAACTACCACCCCACCCCAAGCAAACCCCCACCCCAACAACAGACCCAACCCCACGCCAAATACACTCACATCCCAACTACAACTCACCCCTAACCAACTACACCCCCATCACAACCAAATCGGAGTCCTGTAGCTCAGTGGTGAGAGCACTCGCTTTGCAAGCAAGAGACCTGAGTTCAATTCCAGGCAGAGGGCGAAACCTTGGGCAAGTTTCCTTACTCCACACAGAGCCTAATAATAATCCCTCCAAAACCAAAACCAATAATAAATTGGAAATTTTCAATCTACGACTGTTTGTGGGACATTGCTGTGCGCAATTGGCTGCCGCGTTCGCCCACAAATATACAGTCAATTCACTTTACAGTGTGTTCTGTGAAGCGCTTTGGGACGTCCTCCTGATGTGAAAAGCGCTATATCAAATGCAAGGATTATTATTATTATTATTATTATCCCTACCCCAACTACACCCCCATCCCAACTACACACCCACCCCAACTACACACTCAATCCAACTCCAACCAGCCCCACCCCAACTACAACCCCACCCACACCTCCACCCTCTATCTACACACCTCACAAACCACCCTCACCCCAACCACAACCCCACCCCAACCACAATCCCACCCTCATCCCAACCCCATCCCCAACTACACCACCAACTCAACTATAACCCCAACTATAACCACAACCCCACCCCAATCCCACCCTCACCACACACTCTCCCCAACTACACCACCAACCCAACTACACCACCAATCCCACCCCAACTAAACTCCCACCCCAACTTCACACCCAATCCCAGCCTCACCACCAACTCCACCCCACCCCAACTAGACAACCACCCCCATACTCACCCCAATTATTCCCCAACTACACCCCCACCCCAACTACACTCCAACTACACTGCCACCCCAACTACACCACCAACCAAACTATACCCCCAACCACCCCCACTAAAAGTACCCCCCACCCCAACTGCACCTTCTCCCCTATACCAACTACACCCCTACCACAACCAAACCCCCACCCCAACTACACCTCCAACCTAACCCACCCAATTACAACCCCAGCCTAACTACACCCCCATCCCAACTACACACCCACCCCAATCTCGCCCCCACCTCAACTACACCGCCAATCCCACCCCAACTACACCCCCACCTACACACCCACCCTCTACCTACACAACCCACCCTCACCCCAACCACAACCCAACCCAACCACAATCCCACGCTCACCTCACCCCCATCCCCAACTACACCACCAACCCAACTGCACCACCAATTCCATCCCAACTAGACTCCCACCCCAACTTCACACCCAACCCCACCCCAATCCCAGCCTCACCGTCAACCCCACCCCATCCCAACTAGACAACAACCTCCACATCCACCCCAACTATACCCCAACTACACCCCCACCCCAACTACACTGCCACCCCAACTACACCCCCAACCCAACTATACCCCCTCACCCACACCAACTACAACCCCGCCCCAACGAAACCCTCACCCCAACAAAACCACCAGTCCCCCCCATCCCAACTACATGACCAGCCCACTCTAACTACATCCCCTCCTTAATTACACACCCACCCAAACTACACCATCACCCCAGCTCCACCTTCGACATACACAAACCACCCTCACCCCAACCACAACCCCACTCCAACTGCAACTCCACCACAATTACACCCCCACCCCAACCACATCCCCACCCAAACCACACCCCAATCCCACCCAAACACCCTTCAAACCAACCCCAAGTATACCCCTACCCCAAGTACACTCCCATCCTCTACTTACACAACCCACCCTCACCCCAATCATAACCCCACCACAAACACACTCCCACACCCACCCCAAATAAACTCATAACTACACCTCAAACCCACCCTCACCCCATTCCCTCCCCAACTACAACTCCGCCCCAGCTACATCACAAACACCACCGCAACTACACACCGACCCCATCTACACCCCTACTCCAGCTACACCTCCACACCCAATGCGGCCCACCCCAACAACTCCCCCTCCCCAACGGCAACCCCACACACACTATACCCCCACTACATCCCCACCCCACCTGCACACCCAACTTCAACCCAACTACACCACCAACCCCACCCCAACTACACCTCCACCCCAACTACACATCCAACCCCATCCCAATCCCAGCCTCACCGCCAACCACACCCCACCCCAAATACACCCCCACCCTACACCCACCCCAACTAAACCCCTACACCAAATACACCCCAACCCCCACCCCACCCTGACCACAACTCCACCCCAACTACACCCTGACTACACCTCCACCCCAAATACACCCTTACCCCAACTACACCCCTACCCCAACTACACCCGACCCCACCCCAACCCTATCCCAACTTCACCCACACCCCAACTCCATCCATACCACACACCCACTCCAACTACACACCAACTACACCCCCACCCCATACACCCCCACCAATAAACCAACTGTATCCCCACCCTAAGTACACTCCCAACCCCAACCCGAACTCCACCCTAACTCCACCTGATCTCAACCCCATCCCAACTACACCCACACTCAACTACATCCCTACACCAATTACATCCCCACCCCAACTACACCCCCACCCCAACTACATCCCCACCCCATCTACACACCCACTCCATCTACACACCCACCCCAACTACACACCCACCCCAACTACACCCCCATCCCCACACCAACTGCACCCTCACCCCACCCCAAATACAACCCCAACTACACCCCCACTCCAACTACACACCCAAACCCACTTCAATCCCAGCTTCACCGCCAACCCCATCCCACTCCAAATACCCTCCACTCCACACCCACCCCAACTGCATCCACACCCCAACTACACCCCCACCCCACCCACATCCCCACTCCCACCCAAATCACAACTCCACCCCCAACAACACTCCCACCCCAACCACACCCACACTCCAACTACCCCCCAAACTACAACTCCATCCCAACTACACCCACATGGCAACTACACCCCCACCCCAACTATACCCCACTCCCACCCCAACTATAGCCCCATTCTAACTATACCCCTACACCAACTGCACCCCGACCCCCACCACCCCACCCAAACCACACCTCTACACCAACTACACCCTGACCCAACCCTAACCTCACCCAACTACACCCGCACCCCAACTACAGCCCCACCCTCACCCTTACTACACTCCCACTCCAACCACCACCCACCCTAACTACACCCCCCCACAACTACACACCTATTCCAACTACAAATCCACCCCACCCAAAACCCCTCCCCATCTACACCCCCATCACAACTAGATCCCCATCACAACTACATCCCACCCCAACTACACCCCACCCCCACCTCAACAGCACACTCACTTCCACCCCATCTACACCCCCACCTCCACCCCATCTACACCCCCACCCCAACCACTCCCCACTGCAACTATAACCCCCATCTACAACCCACCCCAACTACACCCCACCCCCACCTCAACTGCACCCCCACCTCAACTGCACCCCCACCCCAACCACCCCCCACCGCAAGTACACCCCCACCCCAACTACATCCCCACCCCAACTACGACCCCACCAAACACCCACCCCAACTACACTTCCACTGTCACCCCACATGCCCCGCAAACCAACCTCACCCTCTGCCTACGAACCCCACAACCCACCCTCACCCCATCCACAACCCCACCCCAACTACAATCCCACTCTCACCCGACCCCACCCGCATACAAACCACAAGTGAGGGTGGGGTGGTGGTGTGATGGTGTGGGGGTATGATGGTGTTGGTGGGGGGGTGGTGATGACAGTGTTGGGGGTGTGACAGTGTGGACGTGGTGACTGTGTGATTGTGGGGGGCTGATGGTGTGATTGGGGTGACAACGTGGGGGAGGTGACGGTTTGGTCGAGTGATGGTGTGGTCTCTGTTACAGTGTATTTGTATGGAGAAGCTGCGCGGCATCAGCATCGCCGGACGTTGCCAAGTATCCGTGCTGGGGAGTATGAAGGGCTTCAGGAGAAGGTACGTAACTGGGTGGGAGGGCTTTGTGTCTTCTCTATGGAGAGCCATTCGGTGGTGATGAGGGTGAGGTAAGGGTGAGGTGGTGATGAGGGTGAGATGAGAGTGAGGTAATGGTGAGGGTGGAGGTGAGGAAGAAGGTAAGTTGAGGGTAAGGGTGAAGGTGGGAGTAAGGGTGAGTTAAGGGTGAGGTAAGGGTAAGGTGATGTGGAGTGAAGATGGGGGTGAGGGTGAGATGAGGGTGCGGTGAGGGTGAGTTAAGGGAAAGATGATGTGAGGGTGAGGTGATGGTGAGTTGAGAGTGTGGGAGAAGGTAAGATGAAGGTGAGGGTGGAGGTGAAAATAAAGTGAGGTCAGGGCAGAGTCAGGGTGAGGTCAGGCAAGGTCAGAGTGGGGTCAGGGTGAGGTCAGATTGGGGTCAGGCTGACATTGGGTGGGGTCAGCCTGTGGCTGTGGTTACAGCTGTGCGATGCCCAGTGGAAGCCTGACTTTGGGCCGGTGGAGTTCGTGCCGAGTTGGGGAGCCACGGTGACCGGAGCCCGAACCTTCCTCATCGCTTTCAACATCAACCTGCTGAGCACTAGGGAGCAGGCCCATCGCCTCGCCCTCAACATCAGGGAGCAGGGCCGCGGCCCCGGGCAGGTCAGTGCCAATGCACAGGGTACCGCAGTGTATGCAGTTTGAACATTTTACAGCATGTAAGAGGTATGGGCAGTGTGTGTAGAGTGTGTGGGGTGTGTACAGTGTGTGTGGTGTGTACAGTGTGTGGGATGTGTACAATGTGTGGGGGATGTACAATGTGTACAGTGTGTGGAGAATGTAAAGTGTGTACAATGTGTGGGGGGTGTACAATGTGTGTGGGGTGTGCACAGTGTGTGGAGGCATGTACAGTGTATATATACAGTGTGTCAGGGGTGTAAAGTGTGTTTAGTGTGTGGTGTCTACAGTGTGTGCACTCTTGTAGCCAGGGCGATTGCTGAAGGTGCAGGCGATGGGTTGGTACCTGGAGGAGGAGGACATTGCTCAGGTTTCCACTAACCTGATGGACTTCAAGGTGACGGGTCTGCACAACGTATATGAGGAGATCCGGAGAGACGCCAAGGTCACACTGACCCCCTTCCACTTCTCCAACTGGCTATCTCCCTTTACCTCTTTCTCTCCATCTCTCTCTATCTCTCATCTGTCTATCTACATTTCTCTCTACAGTCTCTCCTTTTTTGCCTATCTCTGGGGGGAGCGAGTGGAGAGTGGGGTTAGACTGGGGAGTGAGGGGAGAGTAGGGCTAGACTGGGAGAGAGTGGGGTTAGAATGGGGGAGTGAAAAGAGAGAGGGATTAGACTAGGGGAGTGAAGGGAAAGTAGGGTTAGACTTGTGGAGTGAGGGGAGAGTGGGGTTAGACTGGGGAGTGAGGCAAGAGTGAGGTAAGACTGGGGGAGTGAGAGAGTGGGGTTAGACTGGGGGAGTGAGGGGAGAGTAGGGCTAGACTGGGAGAGAGTGGGGTTAGAATGGGGGGAGTGAAAAGAGAGAGGGATTAGACTAGGGGAGTGAAGGGAAAGTAGGGTTAGACTTGTGGAGTGAGGGGAGAGTGGGGTTAGACTGGGGAAGTGAGGCAAGAGTGGGGTTAGACAGGGGGGTGGAGTGAGCAGAAAGTGGCGTTAGATTGGGGGAGTGAGAGGAGAGTGGGGCTAGAATGGGGGGAGCAAGGGGAGAGTGGAGTTAGATTCAGGGAATGAGGGTAGAGTGGGGATAGATGGGGGAGAAAGGGGAGAGATGGGTTAGACGGGGAAGTGAGGGTAGAGTGGGGTTAAATTCGGAGAGTGGAGCGAGAGTGGGGTTAGACGGGGGCGTGAGTGATGGGGTTAGACTGCGGAAGTGAGAGGAGAGTAGAGTTAGACTGGTTCTTTGGGGTTATACTGGGGGGAGTGAGGGGAGGGTGGGGTTAGTCTGAGGGAGTGAGGGGAGAGTGGGGTTCGACTGAGGAAGTGAATGGTGAGTGGGGTTACACTGGGGAAGAGTGGGGTCAGATTGGGGGGAGCGAGGGGAGATGGCATTAGACTGAGGGAGTGAAGGGAGAGTGGGGTTAGACTCGTGGAGTGAGAGGAGACTGGGGTTAGACTGGGGGAGTGAGGGGAGAGTGGGTCTAGACTGGGGGAGAGTGGGGTTAGACTGCGTTAGTGAGGGGAGAATAGGGTTAGGTGGGGGGAATCAAGGGGAGAGTGGGGTTAGACTTGTGGGGTGAGGAGAAAGTGGGGTTAGACTGGGGGAGTGAGGCGAGAGTAGGATCAGACTGGGGAGAGTGGGGTTAGGCTGGGGAAGTGAGGGGAGAATGGGGTTAGGCTGGAGGAGTGAGGGCAGAGTGGGGTTAGGATGGGGGAGTGAGGGGAGAGTAGGGTTAGGGTGGGAGAGTGAGGTGCGAGTGGGGTTAGGCTGGGGGAGTAAGGGGGAGTGGGGTTAGGCTGGGGAATGAGGGGGTGTGGGTTAGGTTTGGGAGTGAGGATGGAGTGGAGTTAGGCTGGGTGAGCTAACGGTATGTATCCACAGGAGCTGAAGATGCCGGTGATTGGGTCACAGCTGGTGGGGCTGGTGCCTCTCGCTGCCATGCTCCACACCGCCCAGTATTACATCACACGGGACAAACTATTCATCCTGACAGAGGAGCAGAAACTACGACTGGTGTGTGAAAGAGAGTGAGAGAACGAGAAAGAGAGGATGTGAGTTTGAGAGAGTGTGTGAGAGAGAAAGAGATTGAGTGTGTGAAATAGAGAGTGACAGAACGAGAGAGGATGTGAGTTTGAGAGAGAGAGTGGGTGTGAGAGAGGAAGATTGAGTGATTGTGTGAGAGCCCTATCTGCTCCTCTCGAATTCCCTTCTCCTTCACTCTCCAAAATTGAAATCCTCTGTCATCAATGGAGACTCTCTTTCCACCATCCCCACAAATTCCAACAATCCATTTCATTCACACTCTGTTGTCGACACTCTCACCTTCCCTCCCTCCCTCCTGTTTCCCATTTCCCTTCGTCTTCTCTTTCCCCTTTTCCACTTCCCTCCCCTCCTTCTCCTCTCCTCCCCCACCTCTTCCCTCACAGCTTCTCTTTCCCCCTCTTTCACAACTTCTTCCTCTATTCCCTCAACATTCATCTTATAATTGTTATCTTATCACATCTGAGAGCGTGAGACAGTGTGAGTGTGAGTGTGAAAGTGTGAGTGTGTGAGAGAGAGAAGAAGAGTGAGTGCAGGGTGTGGGGTGGGGTGTTTCCCTGTTAACCTCCATTGTTTTACTGTAGGTTGTGAGCAGACTTGGCCTCAATTTATTGGCTCCTTTCAATGTGAAAGAGAGAATTATAGAGTAAGTGTTCCTGCCCTCGCTCTCCCTTCCCATCGCTTCCCCTCCCCTCAAATGTCAAGTGACTTGGGACTTGCCTCTCCTTTCCAGAGCAGTTGAACGAGTCTTTGCTTCCCAGCTTCGCTCTTTTCTCTCCCTGCAATCCCTGCACTAGTCCTTCCAATCCGCCTTCTGTGCTGCCCACAGTATTGAGACCTCCCTGGTCAAAGTCATAAAACATTCTGTCCATCTGTGACCAGGGCTCTCTCTGCCTCCTTGTTCTTCTTGACCTCTCTGCCACCTTCAACACTGTTGACTATTCTATCCTTTCTTCACTTTCTTTTGTTTCACCTGCATCTCCATGGTTCTGTTCTTTCCTAGTTTCACTTATCCCTATGTCTCCCCTTTGTCTCTGCCAATGGCTTCTCCTCCTCCTCCTGTACTGTCCTCAGGGCTCAATCCTCGCTCCTCTCCTCTTTAATATCTACATGCTGCTCCTCAGCGATGTCATCCACAGGCATGGAGTTAACTTCCACATGCCTGTGTGGATGACATACAACTCTGCCTGTCTATCTCCACCCTTGACTCCAAGACACCTGCTGTCCTGACTAATTGCCTATCAGACATCAAGTCCTGGATGAGAGCTAACTTTCTCCAGTGAATGTCAACAAGACTGAGGCCCTCATGCTTAGCTCCCTTCAGCACCTCCTCATCTCAGGAATTGCCAGCATGAGGATACATGGATGCACACTTGGAGTCAGTGTGGAACCTCAGAGTTTTGTTTGACTCTCAACTGTCCTTTAAACTTCACATCCTGGTTTGATCTGTTCAGCTTTCCCCTAACTGTAAGATTGTGTACTCTGCAGCTCATGTTTTCTCCCTCACAAGTCTCCATGAGCCGATCACCCCCATCCTTGCTCGGCTCCACTGGTTCCCCATCCCCCAGAGGATAGAGTTCATGATCCTCATCCTCATTTTTAAATCCTTCCATGGTTTTGCCCCACTCTACCTCTGTGACTTTTTAAAACTAACTTCCCCACTCCTTCCACTTGGCAGGCACATGTCTCCTGCCCTGCCCGCTCCACCATCAGTGGTCAGTCCTTCAACCTTTCTGCCCCCACCCTCTGGAACTCTGAATCGGACTCCCTTCTCCTTGCTTCTTCCCTCATCTCATTCAAGGCTCATCTCAAGACCTTTCTCTTTGATTGTGCCTTTGGCCTCCCTCCCACCTCCACTGGCTCCACCACTCTTGATTCCAACACCCAGCTTGATTGTAAACCCTCATCGGAGCCGGGTGCTGAAGTAATAATGTGTCAGCGTTGGATGTCTCCTGGCAGGTACATGGTCCCTGGACAGGAAGAGGCGGGTCTGGCATCGCTGTCGCTGACTGGGTTTGTCCGGAGTGTGGGAGCCAGGACTGCGGCCCCCGGGGGAGGGTCCGTCGCTGCTGCTGTGGCTGCCATGGTGAGCCTCGCTCACTCACTCACATTCCCTCATGTTCAGGATGATGGAGATGGCAAATGTCTCACTGCCTTGCTGTCTCTCATTGTATCACTGTGTTTGTGCCTCCCTGTTTCTCATTGAGTCTCACTTTTTCTCACTGCATCTGTGTATCACTGTGGCCATTTCACTGTGTGTGTGTGTGTGTGTCCCTGTGTGTCTGTATCACTGTGTCTGTAACTGTGCTGCTATGCCACTGTGTCACTGTGTGTCTATGTCACTGTGAGTGTCTGTGGCACTGTGTCTGTGTCTCTGTGGGTGTCTGTGGCACTGTGTGTCTGTCATTGTGGATGTCTGTGGCACCATGTGTTTGAGTCACTGTGGATGTCTGTGTCACTGTGTTTCTGTGTCACTGTGGATGTCTGTGTCATTGTGTGTCTGTTGCTGTGTTATTGTGTTGCTGTGTCACTGTTGTGTCACTGTGTCTGTCACTCTGTGTCTCCAGGGTGCAGCCCTGGGCTCAATGGTGGGGTTGATGAGTTACGGGAAGCGACAGTTTGAAGTTGTTGATGCTGTGATGAGACGTGTGATCCCCCCGCTGCACCACACCGCCCACCAGTTGCTCACTATGGTGGACACTGACTCACGCGTGTTCAGCAATTACATGGTAGGTGGTTCTCACCTCTCTGCCATCTTCACACTATTCTTTGCAGCCTCTTCTCTCAGCTCCAACTTCACAGTTCTATCCTCTCCTGGTTTCACTCTTACCTATCCCAACGTCTTCATTTTGTTTCTGCCAACAGCTGCTCCTCACACTGTCCCATGTGGCATTCCTCAGAGCTTCCTCAGGGCTCTATCCTTGTCCATTTCCTCTTTAATATCTACATGCAGATGACAACTCTATCTCTCTGCTTCCACCTTCAGTTGTAGGACTCCTGCTGTTCTGACCAACAGACATCAAGTCCTTGATGAGAGTTAACTTTCATCATTCAAATAATAATAATCCTTGCATTTTGATATAGCGCCTTATCATGTCTTTGAGACGTCTCAAAGTGCTTCACAGAATATACTGTAAAGTGAATTGACTATATTTTGTGGGTGAAATGTGGCAGCCAATTGACGCAGCAGTGTCCCACAAACAGTTGTGGATTGAGGGAGCAATTTTTTATCATTTTTTAAGGAATTATTACCCCTGGATAAACAATCTGCCAATCGATTAACAATCGGGTTCCTACTTACTGCTAGGCAAACAGAGGCGTGTGGAGTAAGGAAACTTGCCCAACGTTTTGCCCTGCCGGGAATCAAACCCAGGTATCTCACTTGCGAGGCATGTGCTCTAACCACTGAGCTACAGGACTCCAAGAAACCACTGATCTGCAGGACTAAATGTCTTCAAGACAGAGGCCCTCCTGCTTTTCTCCCGTTAGCGCCTCCTCATCTCAAACACTTAAAGCATCACTTGATGCATAATCCACTTCACGGAGCTAGAAAGGAACCTTGGTGTCTTGTTTGACTCTCAACCAAATTGAGATTTTCATGCATCTTACCAACACATGGAAATTCCTGTGTTTTGAATGGAATGCACACTCTCTCCCTGAAGGGATACACCCTGCTTACCTAATTTTGGAGACTATTAGGTGCAGGCTGACAAGAGGGAACCACTTAATGTGTACTGGGGTAACTGCTGGAGTCTAACCAGCTAAAATAATAATAATAATCTTTGCATTTGATATAGCGCTTTTCACGTCGGGAGGACGTCCCACAGCGCTTCACAGAACACACTGTAAAGTGAACTGACTGTATATTTGTGGGCGAACGCGGCAGCCAATTGCGCACAGCAATGTCCCACAAACAGTCGTAGATTGAAAATGACCAATTTATTATTGTTTTTGGTTTTGGAGGGATTATTATTAGGCGTGTGGAGTAATTAAACTTGCCCAAGGTTTCGCCCTCTGCCTGGAATTGAACCCAGGTCTCTCGCTTGCAAAGCGAGTGCTCTGACCACTGAGCTACAGGCTCCACATAGCTTGCCCTGAGAGCACTGTCTGGCCAGGCTTTGCTCTGCGTGTCCCACTCAGACTTGTACCTGATTTGTCTTAAATTGTTCTGTTCTTTTCAGGCTGCCCTCAAGTTGCCCAAATCCACGATGGAGGAGAGAGCAAGGTAACAAGGCGGTGAGGTGGGGGAGGGGGGGAGTGGAGTGATGGGGAGAGAGCCGACAGGGAGAGAGTGATGGAGAGAGAGTGATGAGGAGAAAGTGACAGGGAAAGAGTGATGGAGAGAGTGTGATGGAGAGAGAGTGGCGGTCAGAATGATGGAGAGAGTGATAGGAGAGAAAGTGACGGAGACAGAGTGATGGAGAGAGAGTGACGAGGAGTAAATCACAGGAAGAGAATGACGAGAGGGAGAGAGTGACGGAGAGGGATAGTGACTGGAGAGGGAGAGATGGGGAGAGAGAGTGGTGGGGGAGAGAGTGACGGAGAGTGACGGGAGAGGGAGTGATGGCGAGAGAGTGATGGGGCAGAGAGTGACAGCAAGAAAGTGCCAGTGGGAGAGAAAGTGATGGGGGAGAATGATCGAGAGAGAGTGATGGGGAGAGAATGATGGAAAAAGAATGACGGAGAGAGTGATGGGGGAGAGTGGGGGAGAGTGACGGAGAGCGAGTAATGGGGGAGAGAGAGTGATGGAGAGGGAATGGCGGAGAGAGAATAATGGGGAGAGTGGCGGAGAGAAAGTGATGGGGAGCGAGTGACGGAGAGAGAGCGACAGGGGAGAGAAAATGATGGGGGGAGAGTGATGGAGAGAGTGACAGAAAGAGTGAAGGAGACAGAGTGATGGGGGAGAAAATGGTGGAGAGAGAGTTATGGGGGAGAGAATGACGGAGAGAAAGAGAGTGATGGGGGAGAGTGACTGAGAGAGAGTGATGGGCGAGAGTGATATGGGGAGAGTGAAGGAGAGAAGTACAGGAAGAGAGTACAGGGGAGTGACTGACCTGTCCACTGACAGGCGAAATGCTGCAGTCCAGGCGGGGCTGAAGGAGGCAGTGAATGTGCCCCTCGCTCTTGCAGAGACAGTGACCAGCCTGTGGTCAACGCTGGAAGAGTTGGCAACCTGTGGAAATCTGGCCTGTACCTCAGACCTACAGGTAAGTATCCCCGTGTCCTCACTCTCCGCGCATACACACTTCCCCATATATGCTCCCCCATATACCCTCAGTTGTGCAATTGGCGTGAGGTCAGGGGTTAGCATGAGGACGGGGTCGGTGTGGTGTCAGCAAGATATCAAATGTGTCTGAAACAATCTAATTTCTAGGTTGCAGTGAAAGCACTGGAGCTGGGAGTGTTCGGGGCTCAGTGCAACGTCCTCACCAACCTCAGGGACATCAGTGACCAGCAGTTCAATTGTCAGGTACAAGCCCACTATTTGGTGGTCTATAGTATATACATCACATAGTAACAGCTCCTTTACTGTTCCTTAACCCTAACCAAATAGATTCTGTTTTTGGACCCTCCAGCAAATCATCCCTTTCCAGGGCCGTAACCATGTCTTTAACCAATATTAACCACCCCCACTCCTTTTTTTTTGTTCCCTATCCCTCCTGAATACATTGTAGCCAGGAATATTCAGCTCCCATTGACTCGGGGTCACAGATTTAAAATAGTCTCCAAAAGAAGCAGAGGGGAGGTGAGAATTTTCTTTCATGCAGTGAGTTGTTCGAATCTGGAACGCATTGCCTGAAAGGGTGGTGGAGGCCGATTCGATAATAACTTTTAAAAACGCGGCGGATGGATATTTGAGGAGGACGCGATTGCAGGGTTATGGGGAAAGGGCTGGGGAGTGGGACTGACTTGCTCTTTTCAAAGAGCCGGCACAGACTCGATGGGCCGAATGGCCTCTTTTTGTGCTGTACAATTCTATAATCCTATGAGATTGGTCCCAGCCCTGTTCAGGTGTAACCCATCCTCCTTATATAGGTCCCACCTGCCCCAGAACTGGTACCAATGATCCAGGAACCTGAAGCCCTCCTCTCTGCACCATTTCTCCAGCCATGCATCCTGCTGTTTTGATGCTCACTTGCACGAGGCACTGGGAGTAATCCAGAGATCACCACCTTTGAGGTCCTACTCTTTAGCTTTTTCCTTAGCTTCTGATACTCTCCTTGTAAGATCTCAGCCCTTTTTTCCCTACATCATGGATCCCAACATGGACCATGACTTCTGGATGTTCCCCTTCCCCCTGTAGAATGTTTTGCACCCATTCCATGAAGTCTTCAACCCTGGCACCAGGGAGACAACGTACCATGCAAGAGTCACGTTTTTGTTTGCAGAAACGTCTACCTGCTCCTTTCACTGTTGTGTTCCCAATAACTATTGCATTGACAGTCTTCCTGGTGTCCCCCTGTGCATCCATTTGCTTTTGACTTTCTCCCCAGAGGTATCATCACCCTCACCGGTATTCACTACGGAGAACTGGTTTGTGAGTGCCACACTCTCAAGGGATTTCTGCAGTGCCCGTCCCCTCTTTCTACCACGGTGGGTGGTCACCCACTCACTCTCCTTCTGAACCCTGTGTGGCTGTGGGGTGATCACCTCCTGAAATGTTCGATCCATGAAGCCTCCCGTATGCTATGTAATGACACCAGTCTCTCCTTAAGCTCAAAACCCTGAGCTCAAGCTCAAGCAGCCGGAGGCACTTCCTGCACATGTGTCTGTCAAGGGCAAACAAAGCATCGTGGAGTTCCCACATGGCACACATTGTGCATGCAACCGGTCTCAGCTGTCCTGCCATATTCCCAGACATGTTTTATATTATTCTAATATAACTATCATATATTTTATAATTATGCACCTCCTTCCCCCACTGCACCGAATTCCCCTCTCACTAAATTCCTTAACAGAATTCTCACTCTGTTCCATCTCACTCAATTCCCTCTTCACGCTGCTGGGCTCTCTGCTCCTATTGCTGTGTGTGTGTTTGCTGTGTTTGTAATTGTGCTGTGTGTGTTTGCTGTGTTTGTGTGTGTGTTTGCTGTGTCTATGACCGCCTTTATGTGTTTGCGTGAGACTTTGTGTGTGCGTGTGACTGTCTCTGTATGAGAGTCAATTTTCTCCTTGTGTGTATGTGATTGTTTGTGTGTGTGTTTGTGTGAGAGACTGTGCGTGTGACCGGCTGGGTGTGTGACTGTATTTGTGTGTGTGAGGCTGTGATTGTGTTTGTTTCATGTGTGTGTGAGGCTGTGTGTGTGTGACTGTGTATTTGTGTGTGTGAGGCCGTGTGTAACTGTGTGTGTGACTGTGTTTGTGTATTTGTGTGTGTGAGACTGTCTGTGTGGATATATTTGTGTCTGTGGGTGAGGCTGTGCGTGTGACTGGCTGTGTGGGTAACTATCTGGGTGTGTTACAGGCGAGGGAGAGGATCAGCCAGTGCTTGTCCGAGGCTGGGAGTTGCTCAGCCCGGCTGCTGGCAGTACTGGCGGAGCGGATGAAAGCGGACAGGCCCGCGATGTGAGAGGCCAGAGGCTGAAGAGGAGCAACATGATTGAAATCAATCTTGTTGATTATTAAACTTGGTTTGCAGCACCGTCTAATATGTGTGACTGAGAATCCCCAAAACACAGCACAGCGCAGGCTTGCGTGGGGAGAGAGAGGCGGACACGATAAGTTTGGGAAGAGAGTGATGGAACTGGGAGCATAGCAGGAGACATTTAATAATAATAAATAATATATATTTAATATATAACATTAAAATAATAACATTTAATAGTACTTAGTGCTCAGTCACAACTTCTGCGAACGCAACTCCTGGACTCCGAGATAGAGATGATGAATGCAGTTTAATACCGAAATGTAGGACATTTTGTCAGGAATTATACCTTAAGTGATGAGATTTTAAACAGTGTAGAGAAGCAGAGTATACAGGTTATTAAAGGAGGCAGCGCACAGAGAGAAAGCCGTAAATAAAGTAAAAGGTTGGTTTTCTATCCAGAGACACAAATTACAATAGCGAGGACCTCTTACAATAACAATAAAATTACATTTGTACAGCGGCTTTTGTGTCTGGAGGACGTCCAAGGCGCTGACACTGATGTCCCAAGTCTTACAGGACTTTGGTTAACCCACAGTTGGGAGTATTGTGTATAGTTTTGGGTACCGTATTACTCCAACGATATAAAGTAACTGAAAAGGAGCAGTGTAGATTGTTGGGATGTTACCAGGGACAAGAAATTCAGTTATGAAGGTTTGAGAATTTGGGGCTTTTTGACCGGAGCTGAGAAGGTAAAGGGTGCCCTGCTGGAGCTCTTCACAATTGACAGGTTACGATGCGGTAAATAGTAACAGATTATTTCCACTACAACAACAACATGCACTTATATGCACTTGGCTCTGGAACTCTATCCCCCAGTGCCTTCGCCTTGCCTCCTCCCTTTCCTCCTTCAAGGCCGGTCTCAAGACCTTTCTCTTTGACCGTGCCTTCAGCTCCCCTCTCGACTCTCTACCCCCTCCTCGCTCCCTCCCTTCCCTCCCCTCACCCTGACCATTTCCCCCCTGCTTGGGTCCTGACCCAACTGTCCAGCGCCTTGGGACGTCCTCCCGACGTGAAAGGTGCTCTATAAATGGAATCTTCTTGTTATTGTTGTATATAGCACTCTCCAGGAAGGGTAGCGTCTCAGAGGGCTTAACAGTGACCGTCCTAACTCTGAGCTGGGGTGGGAGGGAGGGGGGTTGAGGTGACTGTAAGCACAGTCAAAAGGGAAGGTTTGCAGGCAGGACTTGAAAAGGGGAGAGATGGGGAACAAGGCGGAGGGATTGAGGGAGAGTGTTCCAGAGTTTCGGGGCATGCTGGCTGAATGCGCGACCTCCAATGGTGGAGTGGAGGGTGCAAGGGACAAGAAGGAGGACGGTGCCTATCGAGCGGATGCGCTGGGTGGTGGATTGGGGAGTGAGGAGGTCGGAGAGGGAGGGAGTTGTCAGGGAATTAAGTGATTTGAAAACAAGTGTGAGGATCTTGAAGTCAATCTGTTCGGTGATGGGGAGCCAGGGGAGTACATGGGGGTACAGAGTTTGGTCCAGGCAAGTATGCAGGCAACTGAAAGAACATCGGCGGACCTGGAATCGCAGCTGGAGGAGGCAAAGTAGATTTATGTATCTTCCGCATACATGTGGAAGTTTACCCCGTGTCTGCAGATGTCCAAGAGGGAGCATATAGATGAGGAAAAGAAGAGGACCAAGGATGGAGCTCTGGAGTACCTTGCAGATGATCAGGCAGGGGTGGGAGGAGAAAGCATTTGCCAAGATGAAGTGGAGGTGGTTGGTTAAGAAGGACTCGAACCATGCAAGTGAGGTCCAACTAAAGTGGATGAGGAAGGAGAGGCAGCAGAGGAGGATGAAGTAGTCGACTGTTGAACATGGCAGAGAGATCCAGGAGGACGAGGAGGCACAGGGAGCCCTGGTCACAGAGAGAGGAGCCCTGGTCATTAGTCAGTGAGTCAGTCACCAGAGGCACGAATTGAAGATAATCCAAAAAGAATGGAAGGGGAGGTTAGAGAACGTCTTTACATAGAGGATAGTGAGAATGTGGAACTCACAGAGATTGAGACTCAATTATTTTACAAGGGAATCAGAAAAGCTTAGAGAGGAGGAATAGGGGAGTGAGGGGGGGATAGACAGGAGAGCAAGGGGGGGGAAAGACAGGGGAGCGAGTGGGGGATAGACAGGGGAGAAAGGGATAGACAGCAGAGCCAAGTGGAGTGGAGAATGAGAGAAGATAAATTGGGGAGCGAGGGGAATAGACTGGGATGCAAGGGCAGATGGACAGGGGAGCAATCAGGAATGGACTGGGAGCGAGGGGATCGGAAACATACGGAAATCCATCACCATGTTTAAATATCCAGACCAAACTGATAATTCAATGTATTCCACCTACACCTGGAAATTCCAGAGATAGAGTGTTGGAATGGAATAGTCTCTCTCAAAGGAGGGACGCATCCTGTTTTCTGGAAAGTATTAGACGCAGGTTGACAAGAGCCAAGGCCTAGGGACCCCACGGTGTGCAAAGGGGTAACTGTTGGAATCAAACCACCTAAAACTACATAGGTTGATACGGATATCACTTTCTGGAAAGCTTCCCACTGCTGTCCAGCTAGGATCACCCTAGCTGGATAAGGGTGGATAATACTGCTTTGTCTTACAGGATTAACAGGAGCTGAGTGGGAAGAATCCCTGCCCCCAGTGTCTGCCCTTCCAAGTTTTGCTGATGAGCCAGGCTGGGCTGTGATCAGCAGTGCCCTGGAGTACTCGGAACCGCCTGGCTCAGGAACGAGACTACTGAGACCGCCACAGAGGTTTGGCTCAATTCTGACATTCCGTTACCAAACAGGGCGACACCTTAGAGCCAGTTCAGGTGAATGGAGTTCCAGAAATTGGGGGCAGAAAGACTGCTTCATGTTCCTCACCCTCCCCATTGTGGGGCACACGGCCTTGCGAGCAGAGGGAGCGGCGGGTTAGTAGGGTTTTAGAAGGCCATAGAAGTAGGGTGGGGTAAGACTGGAAAGTTTTAAAAATGATCTTGAACTCGACTCCATCAAACATGGTGGGAGAAAGGTGATTCCTTACCCCCTTACCCAACCATTGATCCTGACACAGAGCTTGGAGCTGGAGTACACATTCCAAATAAAATCAAGATTTGGACATGTACTCCCATGGCTTCCAGTTTCATTATGAGGGCTTCATGAGCCATGAGGTCGAAAGCCTTGCAAAAATCAATGTATGCAACATAGGTGGATTTCCCCTCTGCCTTACAACATTTTGCGTCTCATACAAAGCCACAATCTGTCCCACACATTCCTCCTGAGAACACAAGCCAGCCTGCTCCTTCCTGATCAAATCACAAGCCTCCAAATGCATGCGATACATGTGCAGTGACGACCTGAAGCACCAAGTTAAGAGTCACCGAAATCAGTGAGAATCCTCTGTAGTTTTTGGTCTCACTAGGGTGCCCCTTCTTGTGGAGAGATACTACCATTGCACTCAGGAACACTGATGCCTTCAGAGTCTTGCTGACACACACTAGGAGGGCAGGTCCGAGGCCAATTGGAGGTTCCTGGCTTAGATCTATAAAATCCTCGCCACTCACTACCTCCGCCTTCAAAGGAGTTTTTAGGAACTCAACATTAATGCCATCCACATCTGCTGCCTTGCCATTAGAAAGTGTCGCCGTCATTATGGTAAGCAAAGTGTTGCAGTCCACTCAACAGATTGGGTTACTGAGGCCTTTAATCTGCTCCACCTGGGGAGGACTTTTTTTTCCCAAATAGCCGATGAGGAAACTGAGGCTTGGGATGACAGCTTCTGGAAGGCGTTACCTGGAGTCCAAATTCATGAACATACTGCCTCAGTGCCTGCCATCCACCTTAATTGACCTGCAGAGAGGCAAGCAGCTGCTGCTTAAGATACTGGTGGAACCATCGCTAAATGGGAAGGGATGTATGTTTGAGCTGTGGACAGGAACATGATGGCAATGCTCTCACACATTTGCTGAGCTGTGTTGCCCACCAGAAGCTTGCAGGGAGTTTTTAGTACCTACCATCCACCTAGTGAGCTCAAATCCTCACTTGTCTGTCAGATGTCAAATGACAAACTAGTGACTATTATCCTGGATGGTGGTAGGGAGGGGTGGAGTAAGCAGGGTTTCCTTGGAGCTGAACTGGCTACAAGATGACAGGTTTGGCAACAGATTGTTGGAATCGAACCCACCCTCTGTGGTGGTCTCGGCAGTGCAGTTCCTGAGTCAGGTGGGTTCACGGTATTCCAAGGCACTGTTGATGACAGCACAGCAGATCTGGCTAATCAGCAGATCTTGGAAGGACAGGGATTCTTCCCACTCAGCTGCTGTTAACCCTGCAAGCCAAAGCTCTAACGGGTAACGTGGTCTTAAACTGGACAAGCAGCTGGAAAGCTTGCCAGGTAGTGCAAGATATGAGTTTTTTAGCTGGTTGAACTCCAGCAGTACCGCAACACATTCTGGGGTCGCCAAGCTTTGGTTTATGCCAACTGCGCTGATTCTGTGAAGTGCATTGAGACATCTAAATGATGTGATAAGGCTCTATATCAAACACAAAGATTATTATTATTATACTACTTTCTGGAATTAGATAAGCAGGATGCGTCCCTCCAGGGAGAGAGTGCTTATTCCATCCTAACAAATATCTCTGGAATTTCACTGTAGGTGGGATACATGGAATTCTCAGTTTGCTTTGGATATTCTTCAGAATGATGAGGGTTTCCGAATGTGTCAGACACCATTCTGAACCTCCAAATAATCTGCTCCACATTTCCTGCAGTTCTTCCACCCTCCATGCAGATAAATCTCTGCTGTTGGGTCAGATGCCAACTCTAGTTAATGCAGACCCCCCTAAGGATTTGTCAAACAGTGACACAGCCCAGAGAGACCAGTTATGATTGATGACAGACTTCAGCCAGCGGAGAAAAGATTTGGAATTGTTCATGTATAGTTACACTTCCTTATTGAGTGATGATCCCACTTCATTTCTCTAATAACCTTTCTGGCTTCATGCCGTGCTTGGTCGTAAGTTGCCTTTACAGTGGTTCTAGTTTGCTTGAAGAAAGTTTCCAAACCCGTTTAAAGGCCTCTGCTTTCATCAAATGGCTCTCCTTCCCTTTCTCATTACCTTGATAAGCCCCATGTCAGAAAGGAGTGCCTTACAGGCTGCAGATTCCGCTTCCTTACTACCTCGCTGCAGAAGCATAAAAGTTCTTGGCTACATCGTCAGTTGATAAATCCGCGCTGTCAGGCCTCACACACAGCCTCACCCAGATGTCATGGTCAGCAACACCCCTTATGTGCTGGAGTGCTTTGGCACAATCACTCATAACACAAGGCGTACCAACAGCTCCAACCTGACATTCACCTTGTGTCACACCAACCACTCCCCGTCCCCACAGCCACAGTCACACCAACCACTCCGCCCCCCCCTCCACCCACAGCCACAGTCACACCATCCACAAGCCCCTCAGTCACTGTCACACCAACCACCCCCACCCCCCACAGTCACACCAACCACTCAGCATCTTGACACAAAAGTCGACTGGCCAGAGGGCAGAGGTTTCCCAACATTGACGATCAATGCAATCGGAGAGTGTCTGACATGCCAAGCCGTTACACAGCTGATCGGTTGCTGTTCCATTCTGCACTCTGCACTTGAAGCTAATATACTTAAAAGGAATAGTTCTTTCTCCTGCCCAATTCTGCAGTATTTTCCCCCACGTGAAGGGTTACTATTAAATTTGTTCCTCGTATTCTAATGGCTACAAAATTCTGTTTGCTAGAGGACAACCCAGCAAAATTGCTTTTTGCAATTTCCCTACCTCCGTTTTAACTTGGTCAAAGTCTTTTATACTCTCTATTCCCCCGATCTTAGTAAGCCTCTTTTATAGTGGTCTTACCAATATAATGTAGCTATATTGTTACGTCTTCTTAAAACCCCCTGTAACTGCTTTCTGTCTGTAGTGTTTTCAACTTTTCAATTTTTTCAAGGTAGCGTTCAGAAAAACCTACCCTGTCATCGGAAATTAGGATTTCCACTTGGAATGTTACTACTTGGCTTGTACATAGGTTTATTTTAAACCGTGCTGTCGTAAGTGCCTCCAGCACATTTTTTAATTTTTCAACAAGGTCATTCGAGTTATCGTCAGCCCAGAATATGTCGTCAACTTAACAGGTTACCCTGGTGTCCCTATCACTGGCTGTTGTGTACATTCATTGAAAATGGATGGACTATTACATCAACCCTGTGGTATCCAATTCCATACATATTGCTGACCCTTGAATGTAAGGGCAGTTTTCCACCAATCTTCACTTGTTAAAGGTGGGCTCCAAAAACCATTAGCTAAATCTAAAGTGGTTTTGGATTTACCTCTAGGTAAATTGTCTAATTCACCACTTAAGTAGGTACGTTGTCCTGCGGCTTTTGCGGTTACGTTATTAAGGTGTCTGAAATCAACCACCATTCTCCAGGACCGATTGAGTTTTTAACTGGCAGAAGAGGCAAGTTTGTCTCAGATTTGTTATGTTCTCAACAAACAATGTGTAGAACACTCTTTTTCCAATAGTCCAATAGTCCAAAATCCAATAATCCCACCAAATACCCTCTACTCAGTTCTCTCTGCTTCCTGCTTTCTCTCACTCCTGATCTCCTTCCATTGGTCCTAGTCAATTGGTCCTTATTTATTAATTAATATCCAACTTCTTCCCCTTTTTGGTTTCTCCTTATATTTTTTCTTTGTGTCTCAGTTTTGTTCAATAATCTCCTTGTGGTTTTACTACTCTTCCTGACCTGGTGGTTCTCAATGTTTCTTGTATACTCGGATCTTCTTTCTGCTCTACTTATCTTCCTCTGTCCTTCTATGGCATATTTCTCATGATGTCTTTCAATATATTTTTCCTTTATCACTTTTAAGCCAATGTGATCTTGGGTTTTTATCCTTCTTCCAAATTTCTCCTTTTGTCCAACCTTCTGTTTTTAGGTTTTTCTTCCTGAATCAGATTCCCTCTCCTCTTGTAAAAATGTTCTCCTTTCCTGATTCATTTTGTGGTCTCCCTCCATTTCTCTTGTGTTGTACCTGCAGTCTCAATTTTTTCTTTTCCGATATTAACAAATCTCTTAACTGTCTTGACATCAGTATTTGTGCTGGTGAATGTCTCTCATTGTGTTTTGGTGTGTTTGTATCAGCCAGAATTGCTAGGTGCTTATCTGCCTTTGCGTTGCCTGACTTCTTCCACATTTTCTTTTTAGTCTGTATTTCCCGTTCCACCAGACTATTGCTTTAGGGATACCCCGGTGAAGTTGTCTTGTGGTTTATTTCCTTGTGAATCTCTTGTATTCTTTGCTTGAAAATTGTCACTAAGTATCTGCTTTGGTATGCCAGGCTGGGCAAAGATTTCCTTGTTTTGTTTCCACTATAGTTTCCAATGTTGTGTCAATCAACTCTTGTATACTCACTATATCTCAATGTATAGTCTATTATCATTAAATTATAATAAAACAAATAAAAACAAACAAATAAAACAAATCAGTTCCTATTTTGGTCCAGGCTTTACTTAGTTTCTCATGCCATATAATTGGTTTGTGTCTTTCCTGGTTTTGATATCTCGCACGTTTCACATTTTCCAATACAGTCCTCTATCTGCTTATTTATGTCCAGCCAAAACAGAACTTCGCTCTTCTTTTTGCTTTTTCTATTCCCCAGTGTCCTTCATGTATGTTTTTCGATACGTTATTCCTTAATTCTTTTGGTATCATTATTCTGTCTCCTCAATATATGATGCCTTTTCACTGGTATATTTACTTATGCTATCTCTTTCGTTTGCTTCTCTAATCTCTTTCTCCTGTCTTGTTGCTTTGCTATTTCCCATACCTAGAATTCCATTTCTTTTTCTAGTTGCTTGTCCTCTTTACTTGCCTTTTGACTGGTGGCTTGACTTAGTATGTCTTCCACATATAGTATTTTCCCAGGTTTGTACTGAAATTCAATGCTATATCTCTGTAGCCATATTCTCATTCTTTGTCGTCTTGATGGTGTTTCATTGAGCCCTTTTCCCAGAATGGCGTCTAATCTTTTGTGATCATTTTGTATAATCATTTTTTTCCCAAATACATATTGCTTGAATCTTTCGCATCCAAACACCACAGCTAAACACTCCTCTATCTGGGCATATTTTTTCTCGATTTCCAAAAGATATGCATATGCATATGCTATGATTTTTCCTCCTTACATTAATACAAAGTCTGGGTCCCATTACTGCGACAGTGTCACCGGTTGTGAGTCTCTGTTCGGATACAGCGTTGCCATTTCCGTGCGATATGAACGAAGAGCAGTTTGTTAACATCGACCTGAACGACGACAATGTTTGCTGCGTGTGTCAGACGGAGACCGAGACCGAGATGCTCTCGTTCTGCCACCTCTGTTTTGAACTCAGCATCGAAGGAATATCCCGCTCCACTCTCCTGCACACCCAGTCGCTGAAAGGCCACCGGGACTGCTTCGAGAAATGTCACCTCATCGCCAACCAGGACCTGCCTCGCCCCAAGGTGTCCAGGAGCACCTACAGGGACATGAAGGACGTGCTGAGCCGGAGGATCAGCAGATCGTGCAGTACGCCCAGAATCAGCGGGTGGAGGCTGACCTCGAGCAGGACAGCCCCCGAGTCTCGCTGAGGACAGGCTCCAGCCTGGACTCCATCCCCTTCCAACACCTGCACCCGGGCCACACGCTGCTGGTGGGGTCGCAGCTGCCGCGCTACGCCCCCTGCTGGCCGGACAGCGGCCCCCGGGGACTCTCGGAGTGCGCTCGGGGTGTCCTTGAGGGCGAGGTGGGTTGCGCCTTCCGGCTGGGGATACTGGGCACGTCCGGGGGCGGCTTTGGCCGGGGTCTGCGTCCGGTGGTCGCCAGAGGAGGAGGAGGAGGAAGAAGAGGAGGAAGAGGAGGGCGAGGAAGAGACGGAGAGCGGGCAGAGGAGGAGGAGGAGGAATGGGAGGGGGTGCCTCGCTCGGAGGGAACAACCGCCAGGTCCCGGCAACAACGGCATCGTCACAGGAGCCGAGAGGAACTGAACGCTTCCAGTGTTGAGGACTTGGTACACAGTTGAACGATGAACTCTTGGGTCACATCAAAGACGTCTTCGAGGAGTTGACACAGGAGTTGGAGGAGAAAGATTCTCTGTCGTCCGAGCTACAGGTCCGTTACATCGCCATCGAACAGCTCTTCAAAAACCGCTCCAAGTTGCCATGGCTCCGGGTCGGACGGGGAGGGGTGAAACCCAACGTACCCCTGAGCAACTAAAGCCCCCCCTCTTCCACCACCACCACCGTGTACCAATTACTCGGCGACGGAAAGATCCTGAGCCAAAAAATTATGGGACGGGCAGTGTGAGGGATGTGAGAGAGGAGGGAAACAGACAAGAATTGACGCAAAAGTTAAGAGCACAGTGTTACCGAAGAACAACATGACAATTCGTTCGAACCCACTCCCAGCTATTTTCTACGTCCCCCGTTTTCCCCCCTCGCACCACACACCACCCCCACCCACGACTCCCACACACCCCCACCACATATTTTATATCCTTTTTTGTACTGCACATTCAGAAGAGAAAATTGTAATTTTCTGGGGGTACTTTTTTTCAATGCGCGATATGTATAACAAAAAAAGTTACGAAAGGAAAATATATATATATATATTCAGGTCAATTAACTCTTACCTTCTTTCTCTCCCCCCCCCCCCCCCCCCCACACACACGCACAAAAAACATATTGGGGTGGTAGGGGAGGTGGGAATTTTTGTGACGCAAAAAGAATCCCATCCCTGGCCACCGGTGCCTGCTCTCCTCCCCCCCACCCACCCACCCCTGCGCCCCCCCATGGGTAGGTGACTGGGTAAATGGTGCCCGAATGCCCACACCCTCCCCCACTACCACCATCCAAAGACATAAAAACTTTTTTGCCTCCTCCTTTCTCTCTCAATCACCCTTACCCCCCACACCCCCCCCACACTCCCCCCCCCCCCCCGCCCCCACACCGCCCCCCCCCCAAATCAATCCCCACCCATCTCAGAGCACGGGGGTGGGGGGGGGGAGGAAACAGGGAAAAGCCCCACATTTTCCTATCCTATCGCTGAAATTCGACTTGGGTTTGAGACTTAAGTCCATTTCGTTCAAATCTTAAGCTTGGCGCGAGAATTTAATTTTATTTTTTTAAACGAACGATTTTAAGTCGCCTTTGGCCGCAGCTGATTATTTGTAATTATTAGTAGTATTGTTATTATGTGGAGTCCTGTAGCTCAGTGGTTAGAGCACTCGCTTTGCAAGTGAGAGACCTGAGTTCAATTCCAGACAGAGTGCGAAACCTTGGCCAAGTTTCCTTACTCCACACAGAGCCTAATAATAATCCCTCCAAAACCAAAAACAATAATAAATTGGTCATTTTCAATCCACGACTGTTTGTGGGACATTGCTGTGCGCAATTGGCTGCCGCGTTCACCCACAAATATACAGTCAATTCACTTTACAGTGTGTTCTGTGAAGCGCTTTGGGACGTCCTCCCGACGTGAAAAACGCTATATCAAATGCAAGGATTATTATTATATTATTATTATTATTACTGCTCCTATTCCTGATGACTTGCATTCACAGATATTGTCACTGGTGCACTTACATCATAAAATTTTAATACTGAAGCTTTTGATATGACTTCTTTTATTTTTGGGGTCGTTGCTGTTCCTTTCCCCATATGAATTCTCTGTTTTTTTTGACAAGCTCCATGATTTCAGTAACTTTGGGAGTGAATCTCCCCACCCAATTCACCATTCCTACTTTTTATTACCGTTTTACCTATAGGTGTAGACATTTTTGTGATTACAGTAACTTTTTGTGGATCAATTTTCAACCCATCCTGGGTAATGATATGTCCCAAATATTTTACTTTATATAGTCCTATCCAGCATTTTTCCTTGTTCAATTTAACATTATCCTGCAAACGTTTTTTCAGTACTTGTTTCAAACTTTTATCGTGTTCCTTTCTTGTTCGTCCATATATTAAGATGCCATCAATATAGTTTATGACTCCTGGTATTCCATCTATTAGTTGTGACAGTTTTTTCTGAAATACCTCTTGAGACGATTTGATGCCGAATGGTATTCTGTGGAAGCAATATCTTCTATAAGGCGTCATAAATGTTGTCAAATGTGTAGTTTCCTCTGACAATATGACTGCCAATACCCAGATGAACAGTCTAATGTCGAGACAAATTTGGCTCCATGCAATAGCGCATGAATATCCTCTAAAGTAGGTATCGCATAGTGCTCCCTTTTTATTGCCTTGTTCAATTGTTGTGGGTCGAGACATACTCTTAACGATTTATCCGTTTTTTCAACAATTATCACAGCACTTACCCAATCAGTGGGTTTCTCTAATTTTTTATTATCTGGTCCTTTTCCATTTTATCTAACCTTTCTTTTAGCCTTTTTTCAGCGCTTCTGGCACTCTCCTAAGCGGCAATATCACTGGCTTTACTGTTTCTTTTAATCTTATTGTGTATTCCCCTTTCATCAGTCCCCTTTTTCCAAAACCTTGTTGATTTTTTTCATTATTTCTTCTGTTTCCATTTGTTTGTAGTCTTATGTCTCCACACTTCAAATTCTTTTTAGTAATCCCATTTCAACGCTATCTTGCATTAACGATTATCTCATACCTTTCTAACTTGAGTATAAGTTTCCTAACCCTAACGAGGGTTTTTGCGCGATTCCTATACTGCAACACTGCGAGAGCCAAAATGGCTGCTCCTGTTTTTCTTTTCTTGAGAAAGATGCAGTTTAGATGCAGTATTGGATCTGCTCTCCTATTGGGAGTTTTGTCTACAATCATTCGCTCCTCATTCCCCTTGCTAAGGTTCTTTCCAGAAATCCTGAATTGATTGAGCATTCTTGGGATATTTTCTCCATGCTGTGACACTTTCCCATGCGGTCCCTGCCCTTACCCCTCACTCTCCCGTTTGTTGTAGGTATGTTTATTACCTCGCCTGAACCCCAAAAACTCATCTCTTGCTGAATCCCCATAACTAGGTGTAACTTGACAATGAGGTCTTCCATGACAACAGGTACTACCAATTGCCATTTAAATGAAAGCAAATTGGGAAGCTTCAGTCAATCAAAGGTTTATTTTACACCTCTGTGACCTAGGCTGAACCTGGTTGTGTATTCCTTCTTTGATGTATACAGAAAGCTCGCGTTAAGCATGGTTAAGTTAGCTCAACAGAATTTTATTGTAGCTTCAAATTCACAACTATCAGCATTAAATCTTAAACGACACAATAAATATCAACCAACACAACTATGAGTTAACAAACATTAAACACACTTAAACTGTACATGCTAGCTAATGAAGTTCATGTAAAGTGCACGAAGAACCAACCTCTGACTACTACTCATCAATAGTCAGAGCACGTAACTTTGACGTCATCAGGTAGAAAAATAGCGACCATGAGCACATGGCGCTCATTCTTTTATGGGTATTGAACCCCTCCCCTAATTGGTAATTGTACAGCACCAATCCCTTGATGTAATTGGTGCCTTTCTTCTGGTCCCATCAAAATCATCCTTTAAGTGACCCAATAGGGAAATAGTGCACCTTCCTATCCACTTATGCAAATTATAGATAGTCAGTTACTGCAAAATTGTTGCAATCGACTTTAACTTAGGGTTAGTATCAAAAACATTAAATACATTATAACATGCATTATAAAATGTATTTAAAGCTCCACTCAATATATTTAAACAACAGACAGGCATAAGGGACATATTAGTATTCCATCCTAAAGCTTGCTGGATCTCCCACTATTTTATCCTTCAGTGTAAGTAGTAATACATGTTCTGTTGGTCTGTTTAGTGCTCTTGAGCCCGACGTTGGGCGCCAAGTGTAACGGGTCTCAGCCCTTAATGAATACCCCCCATGTGTAAAGCGCAGGGAGTTACCAGGAGCCTCTGTGACCTACAGGTTGTGGAACTTCGCTGTGTATGAAAATCAAACATCAGGAATCCCAAAGCCTTATGGAACAATGGAATGCCCCAATCAGTGCCCCTCACACTACCAGAGAGCCGACCTCAGCAATGACCTGGTCATGTCGCGCCCTCTCTCCTGAATTCAACAAAGACTTGAGATGCACTTTTTAGAAAACACAACAGTATTTTATTGGTCCTTATAGCCCTAGGCCTCACTTACACTGCCCGATAATACAATAAACCGTCACAATGTTAAGACATAGAAAAACCCTGACACCATAACTGTGACACGAGCAGCTTTACCCAAAGTGAGTAGACAATGAAAAAACAACCTTCATCTGGAGACAAGGCTCTCAGGTCAGACATGTACCTCCTTGATGACACTAAAGGCGAAGAGCGACTCCGAGTTTAATGAACCCCCTCCTTTTATACGATTTTTAACTCCTCCCCTTTTCAAATGCATCCCTCGATATCTTTTCCCACTTTTTTTGTTGCAACACTCACCCAGATCAGACTTTTTGTCTTCAAGCAGTATTGCTTTAAATTATATAATATAATTGCGCTTAAAGTGAAGCGGCTTATTTTAACCCAAACAGACTATCTACAGCAAATATCATTAGATCAAGGCAGAGCTTTAATAAAAATAAGGTGTCCATGACACGCTCGAGTTATTAGGCAATTTAATAAATATTACCAGTGAAAACAACGAGACAAGTTGTAAAAGTCCTTTGAAGAATATAAATTTTATGCTGAGAAAAAACTATATCATAGAGGCACATAGAGGGAGGACATAGATCGTGGGGGACACTCTCTCTGCTCCCCCACTTTCTCGCACACATTCTCTCAATTACTCTCTCACTCCACTTCTCACACCCTCTCACATTCTCTCTTCCCTCTCACACTCCATCTCGCCCTCAGCCCCCAACCACTCGCTCCCCCTCCACTCTTTCTCACACTCTCAATTACACTCCCTCTCTGCTCACTCTGTCCCCCTCTCACTCTCCCCTTCTCACACTCTCAATCTCTCTGCTCTCTCAATCACTCTCTCACAAACTCTTTCACTCCCCCTTTCTTACCTCTCTCTCACACACATACTCTCTCTCTTACCCCTTAACCCCCCCTCTCTACCCCCATGTAACCTCCATCTAATCCCCCCTCTTTCCCCCTCTACGCCCACCCGTCGAGCCCTCGAGAAGATAGGTCGAGCTCTCTGGATATTATTCCTCTGTCTTTATATTGTATAACCACTTTTCTTCCCTGATTACAATACAACAATTTCTGCTGGAGATGCATGTCTTTGAATATTGCACAAGGACAAGATTGGGTTTGGCTTACTTAATGCATTACTTGCCAGTATGGCTTACTGTGACACTGCCAACATTCACACATGGACAATGGTGGAATGTGCCATGGAACT